CAGTAGTGGTTACTGTGAAGTTAACCACTGATCAGTGTTGGTATCACAGGCGTGATACATTTCCTCATGAGGGTGTATCTTCGGCAACAATCACGTCGATGTCCGTGATAATTGCTGTAGTTGTTCTTGTTCTTTCTATTTACATTGTGGGCAGGGGTCGGTCGAAGTAGGTGGTGACAGCCTGGGTGGTTGCCCCACCTTAACCGGCCGTGGTGACTAAGCCAGTTGTCCCACTTCGCCCAGGGCAGGCGCCAGCCAGCCCACGATACCTGCCCATTGCTCCTGTCAGGCCCATCCCAGTACACTCGTTACAACGATTGTCACACCATGCCTATGAAACAATATGGTCTTACACAAGCATGACTAAGTTTGCCAAGGATATGCCAGTATAAAGGGTCTTCCACTCACTATATAGATAGTCGGGATATTCCCATAGCCACTCGTTCTTCATACTCATCAATACATCCCATTGACCCCCTACCTGATAATCGCTGCCCAACAGCTCCTTATCAGCCTTGCCGTTCCGACAGTATCAGATCTCATGATCGCTTTCAGCTATCTTCCCTGAGAACCTCTTTGACAAGACTACGATTGATCACCGAAGCCTTCCCTTACCTTACGACTTACAGACATAGCTTCCCTGAAGCTATCCCCGACTACGAATACTGTTACCAGTTCCGCAGCCTTAACTTCTGCAAACAAACCGACCAGTAGCCTCATCCGAGACGCTGGCCTTCCCACAGCAGAGGTAGCCCTCGAAGCAGCGCGACTACGCTTCGCTATACGCCTGCAGAAGGTTGACCAACAGCATCCCTTGGTCCCAAGGCTGCTGCAGTCAGGGCGGCAACAGACCAGGCTTCAAAGAACAGCTGGCCTTTTACCTAAGTGTCCAAGGCCAGCGCTCCTACAGCCGCAATACCTCCCAGGGTCCTATGACCCTATAGTTACACAGACGAAGGAAGTAGCAGCTAGGATCTTCCAGGCCTGGCTCAAGACTGTGCCAGGTCAGCATACAGTCGTATACTCAGACGGCTCCAAAGCTCCTGACGGGGCTACAGGGTTCGGCTTTGTTATCTACCGCAACAATAAACGTATAGCCCAGGGCTGCGGCCGTCTCGGCTTAGCAGAAGTGTTTGATGGTGAGGCGGAGGGGGCGAGGGCTGGGCTCCGACGGGCCCTTCAGACCTCCCAAGGCCAGCCTATACACATCTGCATCGATAATACCAGCGTTATTCAGGGGATTCGCGGTAAGGTCCCAGACTCCTCACAAGCGGCCTTCCTTGAGATCCAGGAGGTAGCTAGGATACACGATATACAAACCCATTGGTCTCCTTGGCACCAAGGTATTAAAGGAAACGAAGAAGCAGACAGCCTAGCTAAGGAGGGAACAACTCTACCAGTCCTTAGGGGCCAACTAGCTACTCTATCAGGTATCAAGTGGCTTGCTAAAGAGCGGCCAAGACGCCAATATAGACGATGGTGGAAACAAGAGGCAACTCCCCGCTATACCCAACTAGGGCTCAAGGCTACCCTTGCTTGCCCTCCTGAACTTGGCCTCCCTAGGGCTGCCCTTCATCACCTCCTCGCGGCACGGTCAGGCCACGGGGACTTTAAACAATATCACCAACGCTTTAACCACACAGAAGCACTACTCACCTGCTCCTGTGGATGGGTTAAGGAGGCAGACCATCTAGTCTACTGCCGAAAGACCCTACTGAGGAGGCAACAGTGGCCCACCCTCTACCCCTACAGCCGCCAGGAGCCCGTAGGACCTATAGGGTCCCTCGATCGCTACTTCAAGGGGCTAATCACTGACTCTGAAGGCTTCCAGGCCTTCCTCTGCGTGACAGACTTCTTCCAGAAGATCTGCCCGCGGTACTAGGAGATAGGTCATAACCTATCCTCCAAACGACAAACTACCTCTATTAAGAAACCAGATGGTTATAACGGAACTAGGGCACCAGTGGGAACTAGGGATGGATAGAACACATAGTAGCTCAGGAGCAAGATTTGGAGGACGTCAGGATACGGCGTGTACTATATAGTATATAGCTAGAGCCTGCGACCCTTCACGCCACATACCCTCCGGGAGGTCTGCCGCAAGGCGGCTGCGCCCTTGCCGCCATGGCGTTAAATAGAACAACAACAACAACAAGGATCGCTTGGATAGCTCATATCCCACATATCCTTATCTCTTATCATCACGTGACTTGTACCATAGTTCTTCCGTTCCTGGGGTTTCTCTGATGTTCCGTTCTAGCCTGCATATATGGTGCGCTGTAGCCGCCGTGGTCCTGCGGGGCAGGCCCTGGACTTGGTTGTTACGACCCAACATGCACGACCAAGAACAGGGCCTGCCCCGCAGGCTTACGACGGTTACGATACGCCATACATGCACAGGACAAGGGGACACAAGGCACCCTCTCACGGAACGGAAGAACTATGGTACAAGTCACGTGATGATAAGAGATATGATAAGGGATAAGGATATGTTGGATATGCGACATATCCAACCGAGTCAAGGATATGTTGGATATTCGACATATCCAACCGAGTCAAGGATATGTTGGATATTCGGCATATCCAACATATCCAGACAAAGTGGACTGTTCAGCACTGTTCAGTTAGGATCGGACTTGAATATAAGGATGGACTCGAGCTGGGCTCTAGGACAGACTTTCCATAGCTTCTTCAGCAATTAACTTCGTATCAGGATTAACATCCGCTTTCAGCTACTACCTTGACAAGACTACAATTGATCACTGAAGCCTTACCTACCCTTACGATTGACAGACATAGCTTCCTTGAAACTATTCCACGACTACGATTACTGTTACCAGTTCCGCAGCCTCAACTTCTGCAAACTACCCCTACGACTAGCTGGCCGTAACATCTAGGCCTTCCTTTGTATAATAGATTTTTTTAAAAGATCTATCTGTAGTATTAAAGACTAGGTTTTAACCTAGGCCTTATAAACAAACTGTTACGGCCAGCTAGTCGTAGGGGTAGTTTGCAGAAGTTGAGACTGCGGAACTGGTAACAGTAATCGTAGTCGTGGAATAGTTTCAAGGAAGCTATGTCTGTCAATCGTAAGGGTAGGTAAGGCTTCGGTGATCAATTGTAGTCTTGTCAAGGTAGTAGCTGAAAGCGGATGTTAATCCTGATACGAAGTTAATTGCTGAAGAAGCTATGGGAAGTCTGTCCTAGAGCCCGGCTCGAGTCCATCCTATATATAAGTCCTGATCCTGAACATATCCTTTGTTGCCTGATCACCATGTTCGTTGGTGATCACTAAGTGGATACTGGTGAGCGCTCACTTTGGTGATGATGATGATGATGATGTATTTAACGTCTGGTAACAAAAGGACGTGCCGGGCGCTATGCCGACATGGTCTATACTAATCTAAACTATATTACAGGCTACCGTCTTCACCTAACGTTCCTGTTCAATGACTCGGGCAAATTTCGGAAAAGAAATTGGTCTCCTCTATCCATTCGCATAGAAGAGAGGCTCCCTTAGCAGAACCTAACAAGAAATCAATGCTTGCTTTGGCCATACGTTGGCGGAGGTAGCGCGGTGTAGCCTTGCGTCCACGCTTGCAGAAGTAGAAATGGACTGGTGTCTTGGGTTTCCCACAGCTGCAGTTGAGCAACGCATCTTGATGAGCGAATCTCTCGTGGTATGCTGCAAAGTCTCCATGATGGGATCTTGCTGCGTATAGCCTTCCTAGTAAGTGCCGAGGGAGGCGGAGTTCGGGCGGCTTGGGGTGAAGAATTATCTCGAGGTCGGCATATTGCCGAGGGCATTGGGACAGCCATTTTCTGGCAAATATGTGAGGGCATTGGGTGATCACTGTGATCACCTTATCGTGTGCTCACTTTCCTTATCGTCACGTGACTTGTTCCATAGTTCTTCCGTTCCATGAGGAGTCACCTGAGTTCCCGGATTCTCTGCGTATATCAGGTAGATAGCCGCCGCAGGCCTGTGGGGCGGACCCCCTGGCCTTGTTATGCATGTTGGGTTGTAACACAAACCTACCCTCTTAAAAGGATAGATAATAATAACGGCACCAGGGAACTAGCAGGAACTAGGAACGGATAGAATATATAGTAGCCTACGGGCAAGATTTAGAGGACGATAGGACGAGGCGTGTACTGTAGAGTATATAGCTTGAGCCTGCGGCCCTCCACGCCATATACCCCTCGGGAGGTCGGCCGCAAGGGCGGCAGCGCCTTTGCCGCCACGGCGTTAAATACAACAACAACAACAACAACAAAAATGCGCGGGCAGTCAGCCTATGAAAATGGTTGGCAAAAATTCCTGGTTCGGTATCACCTCCTACTTGTCGGTGCTCGTTGTCTTGTGTACGTATAGTTGCATTCGAGACTCTTAGCTACACATTTCGAGCACCTTGGCACCCCTGCGTCGCACTTGATCTGGAAGAAGCAGTCATATTACTCGCAAGGAGAGTTGGCAGAGCCTCAGAGGAAATCACTTGACATGGAGGATAGATCGTACCTTCCTCTTTCGACAGAGCGTGCAAGCCCATCTAGATCTCTGAGTCATGATAGGCTACAGTCGTCTCGCTTCCATAGTGGCATGTATGAGCTGCTCCGCCCGAGGCCCGGTAATAAAGAGGGAACGATTGGGAACGACTAGAATGTGCCGACACGATAGTAAGGGGTTGCAAGATTTTCCTTGACCGCGGGAATGCATTTGAAAACCTTTCCCGAGTGGCTGCTGGCGATGACGGAGTTCAGGCGGACATTGGTGTCAAACTCCGCAACTCAAATTGTTCCGGTGTCCGGCGGCCCGCACCGCTGTAGTGGGGCCGTTGTTCCGACCCCCGTAATCCCCGATACGACGATCAAGGAGTGGTAGAGTCGGAGGAAAGCCGGACTACTTTAGAGACGCCTCTCTTCGTGATTGTACACTGGAATCAACTATCTCACCACATATTCAAGTCTCTTATTAGACTTTGATATTCATCAACGTTTCGATGTCTCTCAAAACTTTCAATGTAGCAGTGTTCGGAGCTGCAGGGGAGTCTGGGAGCACTATCGTCGATGGCTTGCTCGAGTCAACCTCACCGTCTTTTGCGAGTTCACGTCTCAGTCAACGTCACTTTTCCAAGTTCTTGCTCCCAATAGCGAGAATTACTGACAACTCCGCAAAGGAAGTTACCGCTTTGGCCCGGCCCTCGTCAATCTCAAAGCCAGTGTACGAGAAGCTAAGAGAAAGAAGTGTTGACGTCGTTGCCATTGATCTCGACAAGCCCGAAACCAAGATCGCCAATGTAATTAAAGGCTTTCAGATTCTAATCGTCTCGGTGCACCCCGCCGGGATAGGCTCTCAAGTCGCGCTGGTCCGAGCAGCCAAACTTGCGGGCCTTGAGCGCTTTATCCCTAGCGCATTCGCTATGGCCGTGTCACCATCCGCCAACTCATCCGTCCAGAAAGTAGTATGCCAAAGTCCAAAAGTCCAACTCCCGAGTCTACAGTGTGCTATACCTGACCTTGACTCTCACTCGCAGAAGGAAGAGGTATATGCTGAACTGAGAGCCATCAGCCTACCGTACACAATCATCGACGTTGGCTGGTGGTACCACGGTTTCATCCCTCAACTGGTTCCTGGTCGCACTGACTACACAGTTGTGATGCCTGAGTTCATGCGAAATCTTGTTCCCGGCGACGGAAACATACCAACGCATGTCGTCAATTATGCTGATATCGGGAAACTCATTGCTCGCCATCGCCGAAGAGCTTTCAGGCGAGAATATTGTGAAGAAAGAGGTAAGCTGGCAGCACATTCTCCTTTAATGTTTCAACTGACTCGACGGTTCTCAACTAGATCTCAGCCCAGGGGCTACAGTCGATGATTGCCGACTTCGACGCCCAACTGCAAAAGAACCCTCAAGATGCTCTTGCGGCAATGGGAAAGTTCTGTTCGGAGTACTACTATTCGTCTTTTATAAATGGAGACAACAGCCCGAAGGGTTTCAGTCGGCTTGGGTATCTCCTAGCCACTGATCTCTACCCTGATTTCCAGTCGACTCGTTTCCAACATTTCTTCCTCGAAGTGCTCAGGGGAAAGGTTCGGATTCCCTATTCAGGGAAATAGGTGTCTGGGAAATGACACGGCTATTGAAGGCCGTAAGATCAGCATACGTGCAGCTTAAAGGATTACTAAGTACATATCCGATAGACCAATCCTAGCTGGAGCTTGGCTAGCCAGGTTGAATATGAAAATTGCATCAGGCTGTATCTCGGGAGTTCGATGGCGGAGGTCGAATGTCAGAGCCCTCCCGGATGAGGGCTAGTTAGAGGTAGTAAGGAGTCCAAGCAATAAAGGAGCAGCTCAGATATATATACAGCGCAGGGAGTACACGTCGAGGGAGGAGCAGATTTCAGTAATTCATCATTCTACCCCTAACTGTAGTTGGCCTCTGAGAGCTTCCACCCTGCGTCAACACCCCAACTTGACATCGAAGAACCTGACACGTGAGCAATTTCATGTATGTTATTAAATATGGACAGGTCACGCCGTCACAGCACCCTCGGCAAGACCATAGCTAAGTTCATCGGCTACTGAAGAAGGTTTCTCTCTCTCTCTTATCCGCCCAATCTCAGGCCGACATCACACCCAAAGCCGTTTACAAACCAGGCTTGCGGATGTGCACAAGCAGGTTACCGTTGCCCCACGCAAACTCTGATCCTTGGACTGTGTTGTCCGCACGAGTGCAGCTATCCATGATAAGACCGCCAGCACGGGCAACATCGTTGCTGTTGCAGATGTATTAGCATCTTATACTTCATATCTCGAAGTCAGGGCTAGAACTCTTACCAGGCTGAAGAAGTAGTGGCTGCGTTGGTGCCTCCCTTGACACCAGTGATCTGAGCATTGCCAATGAGGCAGAAGACGGAGACGCCCCCAACAACACAGGCCTGACTGCCCTTGCGGGCAAGGTCATTGATGCAAGAAACCGCGTCAGGGACCTTGTTTGGCACAGTGTCAGCATTCTCAATCCAATCGGGGTAAAGTGATGAGAAGGGGAACGGAGACATACGGAGGCTTCAGTGCCGGCAATAGTGTTGCACGAGACACGTTTCTGGATCATGCTGTTGGTAGACGTGGTGCCGTCAGACTCGGTGGCGTTGACAGACTCCCTCCAAGCCTCGACAGCCTCACTAGGAGTCAAGTTGTCTCCTTCAGGGTTGGCGATGATGCCGTCAACCCACTTAGCGAAGGAGAAGACTTCGACTGCGTCGGACTGGGTCGCGGTAGGGACGGCTCCGATGAAGGGAGTCGCGGCCAGGACGGCCAGGGCAGAGAGGGCGACGTTTACCATTTTGAGGGATTGAGCGGGCTCGTGGGGTTTGAGTCTTGAAGAAGAGGAATGCCTGATGCTGAAGACTAGAGACGAGACTTTGGAGATTGTGTTGATATTTTATACTTCATCGTGGGAGTAGACATGGACTGCTTGTTTGACAGAAACTTTATCCGGGACCACAGCTCGGCATGGGTCTCAAGGCTAGAGCTGGAATTATACCAAAGTTCTTATCAAAAGCCTCAACCGATGCATGCCTTCTCCACAAAGCTTGAAGTAAGGTTACATGTAAGCTCACTAAACACAAGGGTCTCGGGCATGTCGGCTCAGCCTTGTAGGTAAACCAGACAACAAGGTCTCATGATGACCTATCGCAGCATTTCTCGATCATTTGGGCGAGGATCATCAGGCCTTCTAGACTCCAACGGCTTTGTGTAAGCCCCACCGGTAGCGGGTAGGGGCGCATAGATTCAAGTGCCCACCGTGCTTATTGAAATACATGGGAGACATGAGATCAACACGCCTGAAGTTCCCATCAGCCCACCATGGAATTATTACTCTGTGAGATTATCGAGACAGTTGAAGGACAGCAAGCCGCACCAGTGAGCATCTCGAGGATATCACTCTGACCAAATAAAAGCCCGAAGGGTTGTGTTCTGTCCTAGCTCTTGAGAACTTAAGCCGAGTGGTTGATGTTACATGTCAAATGCCGTAGACAAGATTAGGAAGGTCGCGTACAGGAACCCAGTAAGGTATAAGATTGAGTCCACTTAGCTATCGGGAATACTAGCCGGGACAGATCAACATGCGGTCGACAAACTATCGCATGCAGGGAAAGCGGGCCTCGATATATGGAACCAGAAGGATACCCTAGCAATGACACTAGATATCATGAACCAAAGTCCCTATGAAAGAGCGAGGCTACGAGACGATGTTACCTCTAGTAATTGGGTTGTAAGCAATAAGCAGACATGTATGAGTTGGTCGGTGCTCTCCTGCGGGCCGTAAGACGGGGTCACAGTGGGAGATGGATCGCTGGGCTGGCGACCGCCTCCACTTCTCACCAATTTTTCTTCCAGTTTAGGAATTGATGCTGACGCTTTCTACTCCGTACGGCCGCGATAAGAAGCAATATGGGGCTCTTGCGAAGCATTTGAGAAAGATGGCTGCCTAATTGTCCGTACATCGGAAAGCACCGAGTTATGGAGTGCGACTTCGTTCACAGGGTACTTGATGCGGCTTATATCGAGACCAGACGACGTGAGAGCGCGGGGCCGAAATGCATCTGGTTTCCAGCTGGTTTATCCGGTCATATGGGCTTCAGAAAATCAGTGCCAGGGCCTTTGAGTCAGACCTCTGGCCCTGTTGGGATCATAAAAGAGCCTTGGCCAATTTTTTTGATATTCGCTTGTGTGGTTATTGAATATTGGTGATAGATGGTCTATTTGCTTCCCTCCTTTGAAGCAATCGCGGACTTGATGTGCAGCTCGAAATCTCCATCCTGCTCAGCAAAGAAGCTAAGACAGCGTTAGCATCTACCCGAATTTTCGCGGGACGGACCTCACTAACCTTCGAATCATGAAATTGACCCTCTTGATGCTCGTCAAGTTGAGCGGCGCAGTATCATTCTGAACCCTTCCACGGAAAGTAGGCACAAATTCGCTAAACGGCATCACCACCTTCTCAACCGCGCCATCTGTGTGATTCACCGCCGGAATCTGGAAATCAAACTCCCAGCTAACCCCAGACTGCTCCACGCCATTCACGGGCGGCGGCACCGTGTCCTTCAAGTTGAACGTGTACTTCTTTCCATCCGTGAACGGGATCTCGAGGGTGATGGTATCGTACGCCGAGATGTCGAGGCTCGGCCAGTCGTCGACGGTCCGCTGGGACGCGAAGCCCGCGCCGCCGAGCGTCGCGTAGTCGAGGTTGCCGTGGAAGTTTGCAATCGACTCGGTGAAAGGGTTGCCGGCGGCGCTGGCTTCGATGATGTCGAGGGTGGAATGACTCGCGCCGTTGCGGACCGTGTCGTCGGAGGCGATCCACTGGCTCTTGTCCCAGGGCGTGAAGAGGGCTGCGGAGGCCAGGGCGCGGAGAGCGACGGGGATATGCATGGTTGCTGGCTGGCAAATGAGTGTGATGGTGATCGATGAGCTGTCTGGTGCGAGGAAAGGAGTGACGAGGTTGAATCAGCAGCGACAATTGTGCGATGGCTACTTACCTGATGGGCGGGCACGTCGCTCATTTAACGATGGATCATCGTCATTGTCCGTGTCCGCCTGCCATGTTTATTAAACTTTTGTTGCCAAGATTTACGCTCCATTCTTGCGCGCCACTCGGTTCAATCAAGGGCTCCGGTCCAGCCCATCGTGTGTTCATTTATATGGTGAACTCTATTCTCGCGTTGTCAAATCCCAGGCTGGCGGTTCGCCCGATTTGTGGAGAGTGTTCAGTCAACGAAGTGTCATGGATCTGGGATTTTCGCTATCGTCAACAGAAAACAGGCACAGCCGCGAGCCAAGTGCGCCCCGGTAGTGCCGAGGGAACCTGGCTTTGACAATGCAGCGCATGGTAATTGAGATTTGAGCCCCCCTGGGGCCCCTAATAGTGCCGCGTTTAAGACATCTGCCTCTCGGAGTCTCAATTGATTCAGCCCTATCCATTAACATTAGAGGCCGTTTTCGCAAGGTTGGACAGCAGAGGCGGGCGGAGAATTGATGAGGTGTTCTGCAAAAGTCAGAGCAAGTCCCTTGTCACCAAATGCCACATGGGAAACGCTTGCTCGGCTACTCCCTTTGTCTTGTCTGACCGCCACCATCATCAGTGTCACATGGCGAGGGAAGTATCAATGGTTATAACATGATGTTATACTAATGCTATTTTCCTTTCCTATCGTACAGTACCCAGGCCATCACCTCGAACGGTCCAAACCTCGGATCCTCTTATGACAGCCTGAAAAAAAGAAAGTCGTTGCTCATACCAAGTCATCATGAGAGCTGGAGCCTCGAGCCCATTCCAAAGAAAACACAAAACGTTTGTTTGTCCCGAACCTTACAAAACAGTTGAAACCTTGAAACCTTGAAACCACAAAATTGTTCCCTACACCTCGAGGTAGTGCTCACTTTGAGAGCCTTCACCATATGAAAACTCGAATGAGAACGGAAGCTGGCGATATACTCGTGAGCGTCGAGCGACTTGTTGAGAGTAGGTCACTCTTCAAGAGTTGTCCTGAGTCTTGCGGGCGCAATGTCCCTTGCGGCCACGACCCTTGCCACGACTGCCGCCACCACCTTCAGCGCGACCCTGGGCCTGGCCCTGAGCATGGTCTTGAGCATGGTCTTGACCACGGTTCTTGCCGCGACCGTCACCACGAGCCTGAGCCTGGCCTTGAGCGTGACCGTGGGCCTGATCTTGAACAAGAACCTGAGTATGGTCTTGAGCATTGTCTTGGGCATGACCATGAGCATGACCTTTGCTTCGACCGCCGCCGCGACCTTGAGCCTTGCCTTGAGCCTGGCCCTGGACCTGAACTTGAAGTTGGCCTTGAGAATCATGGCCTTGAACGTGACCTTGACCGCGATTCTTGCCATGATGACCGCCGCCACGACCTTGACGATGAGCTTGGCCACCACTGCCGAGATGATCGTGATTGTTCTTCGGAGTGGCATGAGGGATGCCATCCCCATGCTGGGCTTGGGAACGCTCAGTCTGACGGGGACCAACCTTATGGTTGCGTTGACCCTCAACGACGTTGTCGCGATCACGGCCTCCTCCGCGATTGCCACCTCCCGCATGGTAAGCCTTGTTCTTGGCCTGCTTCTTGGCTTGCTTCTTGGCCTGCTTCTTGGTCTGCTTCTTGGAAGTAGCACGCTGGCCGAGGTCATTCTGGCTAATAACCGGGTGAACCGTGGCGCCAGGAATGGAGGTACGGTACGGAGTGGAGCTCTTGCGCTGGACCTTCTCGACGAGGCCGCGGAGACGGGCGATTCGGGCGGCGTTGAGCTCCTGCTCCTCAACGAAAGGGAAAAGCTTGATGCGGTCTTCGATCGAGCACATGTGGTCGACACGGTCATTTCTGATGTTCTTCTGGCGCTTGGTCGAGTTCTCGAAGATGAGCTGATCAGTGATGAACAGCTTCTTGGCGTGGTCGAATCTGACGTACTCGCGGCCGACGATGATCTCGCTCTCAGAATCCCAAACAATGTGGCGAGAGACATCCCACTCGGAGATGAATTCCGGGCTCATGATGTTCCAGAAGTGCTTGATGAGAGACGGGGTGTGTCTGGTGAACCAGTAGAAGCTCTCCGAGATGGCGTCCCTGATGAGGTGCTCATCGTCGTGGCCGGTGGAGAAGATGTCGAAGGCAGCCATGTAGTCGAGCATGAAGTCGACATGGTGAACCGTGTTCCAGTCAGAATCCTCGTACTTGAGGGTGGTCCAGTTCTTCTTGGTACGAGCCAGCAAGGTCATGAACATGTGTCTGACGATGCAGAGAAGCGAGCGGTGAATGAAACGATCGCAGAGAATGCACATCTGGGCCATCATCTTGAGCTTGATTTTGGGGATCTCCAGGTGAGCCCTCTTGAAGGCCACGGGGTCGTTGGCGTTGATGAGGTCATCGAACAGAGAGAAGGGGACGACCTTGGTACCGTAAGACTTTATCTCAAAGTACCAGCCGTGAGTAAGTTGAAGGTAGAACTCGAGAGCCTTGGGCTCAATGTCGTCGAGGACGATTTCCTGAGTGGTAGACTCTTTGAAAAAGCCGAAGAGACAGGCATCGAAGTACATGGATCCTGCGGTGATGATCTCACGATAGACAACGAAGATAGTGTCGCCACAGTAGATGTGGACGAACTCATCCTCGCAGCTATCCCAGGTATGTCAGAATACGGACAGGCTCAGGATCCAGCCAACTTACATGTCATGAACGCTTTTTCTGCCGGCGTCTGCAGCTTCCTTGTTGGCATCCTCGGCCATGGGGCGCGAGGTAATGCGGTAGTCGATGACTCTCTCCATTTTGAGCGATGATTCGAGCGGCCCAGCTGTATATCAGTGTGAAAAAGGTAAGTTAGGTATGTAGAGAGATGCCAATAATGGCGCGAACCAGCGGTAGAGATCCGAGGCCGCAGTAGATGATGGTAAGCAGCGGAAGCAGACGGAAGATTGTGTTGGAACTGGTTGTCTCGTGAGATTTCCTCTACTTTGAGGTGTTGTTTGTGGGCGAGAAAAGAGAAGAAGGTGGATGTTGAAGAATGAAGAGTGTGTACCTTCCTTACAACGGCGTGTTGAAAGGCAACAAGCGAAGAAGGCAAGGTCAAAAGCCCTACAAAAGAAACTAGGTCAAAAAGATAGACGTGGGCGTGGCTAAGTGAATCGTTTTGATCCCCTTCTTGCCAACGGCACAAGGTGAGAGAGGTGTGAAGTCAACTGCCCATGGAAAGTGGTCAGAGATGGCACCGTAGCCTTCCGGGTTGGCCCCACTTGTTGCCGAAGTGATCTCCGGTAGGCTCCGGACACTCCCCGGAACTGCCATGATGCAGCCTAGACTGAAAATTTTAAGTCAATGATTGACCTAATCACTCGCGATTTAATATCGAGCTCCCTTATAATAAATGGCTGCCGATCAAAGAAAGGAGCATACCTTCAATTAGCCGCCTATCGCCTGCTGGGTTCCTGCTACTTGCGCAGTGCTGAGGTGGACTCACGAGCTGAAGATGTTGAAACTTGCCCAATATTGGAGTCGGGAGACGCAACACTGGCAGACAACCAGAATTTGTCCAAGGGCATAATGACCAAGTGCCTGTATATCTGGTCCATGATGAGGTCAGATAGTTCTCGATTCAATGAACGAAGGGAAGACTGCTTTGCTTGTAGATGGCCCGAAATGCACTGTCCTTCCCTCGAGATCCTTGAATGAGAGACAAGAAGCGGTCATGGAATTTAAGAGACATCGTCCGAGATTCTTTCAACTTCCAACTGTCGTGTCACTTGCTTCCCCTAATCTCTAAACTTGTTCTTTGAGAGTAGACCGGTCGGAAAGAATTCGGGGTACGTATCATGGACACCGTGGGTAAGACTCCATCATCGTCAGTTCACACAGTGAGGGGAGACCCCTCCATCTCCTTCCAAGCTCCCAGAGTACTGGAATGGGAGAACAACCTTGCAGCTTGTGGTTTCCCGATCTCATCTCATTTTACTTCAAAAGTCGCAACAGCCCAGTGGCAGACGAAGCCTCCTTCTTGAAGCTAACTTTGCATCGGCCTTTTTGGAGACCAGGTGCCTCTGCGCCCTAGCTGTTGAGTCAGGCGCTGCCGATTGAGTCACCCAAGTCCAAGCACCATCTCCCATCGCCCGAGTCGCCGTCTGCGGCATTGACATCCTCAATTTCTATTGACCAACACCTCCAAAACTTCATACCGAGTACCGTTTAGGGATAATTTAATAATCGAGCGACATCGTTGTGGTTCTTTCTTGTATCACTTCTCGCGCTCATTGACCAAAGTTCGCCTTGCAATCGGTGACGTTAGCCCAGGTATAATAATGCACCTTTAACCACGTGTATATGAAGACTAATCAGTGCAGACAGATCAACCCCTCACTGTGCACCTGGCCTATAAATCTCGCAATGGGAGGCTCTGCCTTCGCATCTGGGGATGACCCTCTGAACACACCACGAATGCCCGCCACAGTGTACGAACGAGCCAAGGCCGAGTGTTTCGCTGCATTGCGAGAGCTGTACCTCTGTGTAGCCAGCCCTATTGAAGGTCCCGAGAAGCAAGACTATGGCGATATCGATATTCTGGTCACCTGGGAGAGAGCGCCTTTCGTCGGGAAGTGCGGTGGGAAGACAGCACCGGAGTCAACTCCCAGACGGCAGGAAGAACGGGAAGATGACGAAGAGTGGTTCGAGATAGCCAACGACTATGGCGAGGGACAAGAGAGAACACCGAGCCATTCGATCATGTCCAAAGACGAGGCACGCAAGGCCATTTTTGCCGCTCTCGGTGCCAAGCGCGCAATCTACAACCCCGTCGGGGATAACTATGCCATCCCGTGGCCAGTGACGGATACGAAGATGGATACTCATGAGCCGAAGCAGTATATCCAAGTCGACTTGACCATATGCATTTCACTCCAACAATTGCAATGGATCTTGTTCAAGCACGCCCACGGCAATCTCTGGAGCATCATGCAGACAATCATCCAGCCACGCGGGCTGACCGTGGACGACTACTCCATGTCACTCCGGAATAACGACATTGAAAGATACGAGAGATACAGCAAGAAGTGGCCCAAGGTGCATACCTCGAGGGATCCTGCCGAGGTGCTCATGTTCTTGGGCCTCGATGTGGCAAGATTCTCGGAGCCCTTTGCGACTCGAGTCGAGATGTACGAGTATATCGCATCCTGTCGCCTCTTTTGCATCGAGACCGACTACGGTCGGCACAACAACCCCGATGCAACGAACCCGGAAATGATCATGGAGCCAAAGCAGCCAGAGGCCAAGGACAAGAGGGACATAGAAGCTGTAGAAGAGCCCGCAAGGAAGAAGTTCAAGAGTAAGAACAAGCAGCGTTTACTGAAGCGGCCCGCCTTCCGCCAATATTTCGACGAATTCCTCCCCCGCTGTCGAGAAGAAGGGCGATACGCAGGACGCCCCCATCTATATCACTGGGACGTCCATCAAGAAGCCTTTGCCATTTGGGGAAACTTTCAACCGATGATGTCGCGTCAATGCAGGGATCTCATACTGAGTCTCGGCGAAGACAGGGTTCGAACAAAGATCAAGGAAGTTTGCCAAAGCTTGGTCCCCGGCACCAATGCTAAGGACAGCATGTACCGCGGCTTGCTGAACAAGGCGTTTAAGAAGATCATCATTGACGGAGACTTGACGTACGGGGTTAGACCAGGAGATAAGGAGGAGTTCAGGGACGGCATGGGCCAGATGATTAAGGACCAGCCCGAGAAGTTCATCCTCAAGCATCACGAGGAGGTTGGGAAGGCTGCTGTGGCCAAGCATGAGCAGAAGTTTGAGGAGCATAAGCGGTTGAAGGAGGAGCAGAAGACCAAGAACATACTATGATGTCGGGTATAGATACGACTGTTACTTTTTAAAGATACCAGATAGCATCATCAGGGACAGACAGAGGTAGACTGCCTCTGCAATTGAAGCCATTCCCACCACATCACCACCACCACCTCTCCCAAGTCGTCCAAGATTGCCATTTCTCACCTGTATCTTCAACACCAGTGAAAGGCACGGAAGTCCTTTCAACCACTCGTTAGCCATGGTGCCAAACTCCCGCCCTGAGCAGCACAACAGCCTTCACATCGCCATGACGATACTCCCCAGGACCACCCACCTCCTCCCCAGCCGCATCTTCACTCTGTACCCTTTCAAGCCGCAGTAGGGTTAGGTGGTCTGCTCTTGATGAAGCCCTAATGATACCTTCACAAGAGCCCCACGTCTGGAATATCTTTTCTACCCATGGAGAGAGAGCTCCTCAACTTCTCTTTTCTTTTCTTCCTTTCTTTACCCTTACATACCTCACTTCTTCTGCTCTACAAGCCAGCTTTCCAGTCTTTCAACCATCCAACAGCAACAACCACAATACTAACACCAACACTTCTCTACCAGTGAGTTTTCTATCTTTCAGTCATCATAACACCAAGATCACACCTCTCTCCTTTCTTTATTTTACATCCTCTGACCTCTACTTTCACCTCTCTTTCTTACCTCTCTTACTCCTATCTCTTGATTCATTCCATCTGCTCATTTCTTTTGCCTCCACTCACATCCATTGACTCTGCTTACCTCCATTGCGTTTACTTACCCTCATTACCTCTACTCATCTTTCTATTGCCTTTGCTCACCTCATTGCCTCTGCTCACCCTCATTGCCTCTGCTCGTATCTATTACCTCTATTACCTCTTTTATCTCTATCACCTCCCTTTACCTCCCCTACCTCTTTCCCCACCTCTAGTACCTCTCCTGCCCCTTTTATTTCTTTCAACAGCTTCACACCTACATCACATTCGTGGACGAATACGAGCGAACGAAACGATGAAGAGGAATACTAACCACTTATTCTACCTATTCTAGAAAACTATAAAGATGGCCGCCCCCTCCTCCTCCCCCTCCTCCTCCTCCAAAGACGGCACTCCCACCACTATGCCGGTGGACATCCCCGGGGCCGCGACGGGTCGTCGCGCTGCCTTCCGGCGTGCAGAGGCGGCCCGTCGGGCCTCAGTTGGTGGCTCTGCCTCCGACACCACTGCCGGAGACAGTCTGGCTGGCCGGGGACCCTAGGAAGGTCCTCGCCGCTGGACTGTCTCCCGCCCCGGAGGATTCTCCGCGGAGGAGATGAGCGCCGAGGCGACTCGGCGCCGTCGTGGCGTTGGCACTGATCCCTCGTGGATTGTACGTATTTATACTCCTTTCCTTGATCTACGTTGATACACGATGCTGATATCTATATAACTAGGACCCCGCCGGCCGTCTCCGCCAACTTCCCCCCGGCACTCGCCTCCCCTCGCCCGTCCCTCTCACCGAGGAAGAGCTCAACCGCGCCCGCAACTCCGGAGCCGGACCTCCCATCCCCTACCCGCGCCGCTCGCTCTCTCCCGGCTCTCGCCCCGTCTTCGGACCGATCACAGAGGCGGAGCACAACAGACGCGTCTTCGCACATCATGCACTGTACCGCCCATTCATGGGCAACACTCCTGATATCGGCCTCCCTCGCCCGCTCTGATTCGGCAGTCTCGATCCACGAATTCCGGTCTTTCTCAGTAGCAGGATTCTCGTTCCCCCGTTGGCTGGTACCTTATCATACAATGCGACACGAAGCCATGGATTCTGGCTGTGGTCTGCTTCGAAAGACAGCTTTTGCATATTCGGTTTCTTTTGGTCTGCGGTGAGACATCTCGGATGGTTACGACAGTGGTTTTCTGGAGGCTGGATGGTCATTGGAATTGATCATATCACTACGGACGTCACGACGACGACTGATGGAGAGAAATCATACTATACCTCTGCACACGGCATCACTATTACGACTTCACATAAACCTCGACATCTTACGTCTTTCATACGTCTGTCACGTTCCTTCCGACATATCTTCTTCGAGAAGGAAACCAGAGGAGGAAGGATTTGCTTGGACTCACGGCTTCACATGACCGTTGACGTCTACAGCCGTTTACGACTCTCTCAGTTTTCGGCATATCGGGTTGGAGATGGGAAGGGCAACGAAATGGATGCTAGGACTCAGCTTACTCCACGTTTGTTTCCGTTTTCAAGGAAAGCCGGGACTCTTCACTACCGATAGAATGCTTTTCTAGCTGTTCATCAAGAAGAAGTTACCTGGGCACTTTTACTCATTTGCAAAGCGTGATGTCATCTTGGTTTACGTAGTCGTGATTCTGTACTCATCTCACCTTCTGCTTATATCACTCCGATGGTGATGCCGTTAACTTGCTCTGCAATCTTACCTGGCACAACACAGCCCGGCCTTGGCCATCGCTTGGCTGCTCTTGCCACGCTATCACGAACCTACTCCAAGCAGCCAAGACAAAGTTCTTCCAATGACCCAAATCGTGGCTTGCAAAAGCGAAGCACCGCAAAGCTTAAGCCAGCAAAAGAGTGCGCTGGCGACGTACCCGAAGCGAGCATGAGCTTCCCAAGGAGCGAGCTGTCAGATTTCCAAGCTCAAAACCACACGATCCTCGTGGAATCTTCCCACATCAGTCATCAGATATCCCAGCCACAATATCCCTCTGTACGACGTTGGCATGTGGTGTCTCAAACACCTGGCTCACCTAGGCTCTAGCTCACCTAGCCCACACCCTCAGCCCTAGGAAAAGGAAGTGACTTAACTCCGGATGGATCCTGCGCACAGGTTCCCGCACATCGTCTCCGACGCCATCACTCATCAGTGGTTCCCCATATACCATCGTCGTGAAGATGGGTCGGGGACGACGAATCCACCACATCGCAACATGACCAGTCCCGAGCCGCTCCTTCTCCATCAGCCATAAAGCCGTTCGCCCGGCTAGCTCAATCGGTAGAGCGTGAGACTCTTAATCTCAAGGTTGTGGGTTCGACCCGTAAGTGCTTACAAGCTCTGATCCAGGCATGAGCTTCTCAACTAATACATTCCAGCCACGTCGGGCTCAATTCCCGTCAGCAATTGACATCCAATTCTTTTTTGCCCCATTGAATTTCGGCCTGCTTTTTCGACAATCTTTGCTAGCCCCATTGACGCTTGAGGAGACCGGGATTGTCGGCCTGGCATTGAAGAACTGAGCCGAGGACCGGTATTTGGGAAGCTGCCGGTCGGCTGGCGTTGGCGGTTCCTGAACTCGACGGTCGATACAGATATTCGATTGGAAATATGGGAAGCAGGAGTATTGCTACGGCCGAAATGAATTAAGATGGGAAGGTTCCATCTTCTGATAAAGCATGGCTGCGCGTGTGTCCGTCTGCTTAGGTATTGTTAGCTTGCAACCGTCAACAGACGTTGAATTTCTGCCTCGGCAACCAGGTCTCAGTGTCTAGCGAAAGTAACGGAGAAGATTGAATGCTCGGTCTGGGAGAATCCAAATTGGGCCAATCAAACCCCAACATGTCGCTGGAGATGGAGCGTTAGTAAGCAAAGGTGCAGCAGGATGCCCTTGCAATCCTGCCAGGGGTAATGCGAGAAACTGCTTTTCATACCACCAAGAGATCACGAGCGGTGAGACAGCTAAGATCCAATACTGGGATGGACGGTCAACAGATGAATGGCCAGGCCAGGTTTACCGCCCGACGACCACAAAAAGCATGGCCTAGAAAATCGCCCGAAAGGATGCCAGTGCCAGCCACAACGTTTTTGGCTTTGCAACGCGGACGGTGATTCTGGTAAAAGGTTGATTTTTGGGGGCCGGGACGTGCTGTCAACGGGATGGCGGAAGCTATCCGGACGCCAGGCTCAAACTCCGAAGCAATACGGAATGGTAAGCACCAGCAACACGGTACGTACCGTGGGCGAACATCATGGAGACGATTGGCTGATGGCGGGAAGTGCGAAGTAATATGCCATTCATAGATCATTTCTCGAAGTTCACTTGATCCCTTCATGCGGTGCCAGCGGCCTTTAGCCAGCCAAACAGAGTTGAGCACGGTGTCACTGGCTGGCTGGCGATTCGGGGTGCATTCCTCAGTTCTGATCAGTTGAGGACCTTGAGGTATTCCGTCGATGGAGAGTGACAGGCAGTGCCTTGCAAATCAACAGGGGGAGCAGTAATCCGTAGGTCGTGTGCTGAGCACCGGGGATCCGAGCCGCTCTGCCCCCCCTGTGCTGTGGCTTTCGATATTGATCAATGGCTACAGTCTTGATTGGTGGTTGTCTACACCGAGCTGAGGCGCTATGACTCTTTCAGGCCTCTGGATATCCTCAACATCGAAAGCCGGTGGCTGTTTGGCTCGCATTTTCTGGATAGAAATCAGCGGATGACTTGAGGTGATGATAATTGCAGAGAAGCAGGCAGGCAGAGTTGAGGCGCCTGCGGGACGTGATCAAAGTTGCTGATGCATCTGGAAAATGTGCCCCTGGGAACTGTTGCTATGTCGCCGAGACAGGATTCCTAATAGCCGGAGCTGCTCACGGGAGCATGTCTTTGTGCTGGGGACTTATCTGTACGCTCGCACTTGTGCATGGCTGCATATGCAGGCTGCACACGTCTGGGGGGTAACCTGGGGATCTTGGTAATCCAGCATTCGGGATTCCCACACCAATGGTCGATTGGGGTTCTCCGTTGCGTTGCACATGAATATTTATTACGGCTTGCTGAACACAGAGCGACGCATCCATCCCGTCCCAACATAGGCGTACCTCTGGCAACTACCACACCCACTCAATCAGCGTCAGCCGAGCCGCAGCCCTGTGAGTCAAAACGAGATGCTACATTGCACAGAAGAAGCAAATTGTACTCTCGTGACTCTCGTGTGAAGGCCAATGGGCATGTCGATAAATGCTGCATCCATTCGTTCGATTGGGAATGCCGTCGGCAAGGGCGACGTCCGCTGAATACCTGGTGGAAAAGCAGCCGTAACCGGATGGCGATTCTGCTCGTGTGTTTTACGGATAGACTGCACACCTTGGTGATGGATATTATACGACGACGCTATTGACTGTGAGATACGATCATACGAAGCCCTCTTGCTGGAAATGGAGTTTCGAAGTTCGCCGCCGCCTCCTGCTTATGAATCCAGGCATCCCGTCCGGTGAGTGTAGATGATGAATCAGGAACCCGGCTTGTGCAACAAATGTGCATGCTAGAAGGCTCTCCAGGCATCATGGGCCGAGGCAGGCAGAGCGCTCCGTATGCAGACGAGGCCGGCGGAGCTGTCGACATGGTTTAAAGGTCCGCAACTCCCGCCCGCAAGAAATGATGCCAAGTTTGGGCCCATCTGCTTCAAAATCCTCACGCATCCGCGAATACGCTCGCGCCATCTTGCGACGTTGGCTTGTACGATTGAAGCCGTTCCCAGCGCACCACACCGGTCTCATTGTTGCTTGGGGCATCACCCGGCCGGCGTTGAGAAACAGACAGGCAAGCGTGACAGGGTGCGTAGGTTGGACAAGCAAACCGGTCGGTTCGTTGGCCTGGGCATTTGGAGCTTGGTGTATCCACCCCTTTCTTGCGTCTCATTCCAGGTGTTTGCAACATCTGGAACCTTGATGGGCATCTGAGTCAAGACAGAGACCTCAACAGTTGATCCAAATATCTACGGTCGAGCTGGTCGCACGCGAGGCAGAGGAGCATCTGTTTTCCTTCGTTACCTGTTCACTTTTTTGTCAGACATTTGACAGTATCAGGCCAAACGGCATCGGCGACGAACCCATCATCAGCCAGTGAAACAAACATCAACCGGGAGAATACAGCGACATCGACAGCGTGTGATTGATTGCCGGGTATCTCGCCTGCCACGGACACACGGTGACCGGGGTCCGAGAAGCATAGCACCGCGCCTGGGTAACACGAACTTTTGCCCTCGAGACCTTCTCTGCTTGTTTCCACGTCACTTCTGTGCTTCGTCTTCAGCTAGCGAAAGCCCTGCCGCCTTGGGTATTTGACTAGATTTCGAAGGGTCACGATCCCATATCGCAGTGTACTCGAGCACGGCTGTACAGCTGTCCAAGGTCGTTCTTCGTTGTTGGTGGCTTGTCAAACGACACAGTGGGAGACGGACGACCAGAGAAAGCTGGGGACAAGACGTCCGGTATCGCAGCACGATTGCCTTAGGTTTGAGGCAAGGCAAAGCAGACGACAAGAACGAGGCGAATTGAGACGAGGGAGAGAGACTCAAGGAGAAGTTCTTGCAGAATCGGAGACGCGCTGTCCCTGCCCCTGTCATCCCGGGTCTGGGAGTGTCGTAGGAGTGTCGTGTTTGGTGTTACACGTAAGACACTGCTCGATTTTCGGCTCCGGCCGCCGCACAAGCATCTTGCAGGCTCTCTCAGCAAGCAACAACGGCACTGGCAGCGTCAGCAACAGCACCTCAGCAGCCAGCAGCAACGGTTACCTTACTGAGCACCAACGCAGGGCGAGCAGCAAATAAACGACGGGAGAGGCCTGACTGTGTTGCTTGGTGATTTGCATCACCACTTGTCGGTTTCCCCCGCCAATTCCCCCCCACGCCTGCGCGACCAGACTATTGCGTTTCGGGACAGAATTTTCGAAGTATCTGCCTTGTCTGCACTTGCCTGCACAGTTTCAGGGAGAGGAAGGAGCCGACTGGCTGACGTACAACAGCTCTGTGCCTGCCCTTTCTGCAAGGTACCTTGACCACACGTTACCTTCCTTACCAACAAACCGAAGGTGTAGAGGAAGGGACATTGTTGTCAGGGTTGTTTCCCTCTTCTGCAAAGTACCTTTATACCTCCTGGGGCCCTTCCTCATCAAAACGGGATAGCGAAAAAGGGAAGGAGACGATCTGGTAACCCTGCAGGTCCCAGCCAGTTCCTCCCTCGTTCTGAGACGTCCTCGCTCCAGCTGGAGCAGTTGGTTCACGCTCCCTCCGCTGAGACGACAGTGCTCAGCTGCCTTGCATCGACACGCACGCGGCACGTATCTACATTCTCTCAACATTACAGAAAGATCCTGGAACTGGAACTGGAAAGAACAAGGAGAAGGCTCAATCATTTGCACTTGCACTTTCCTTACCATAAGGCAAGGGACCTTACCTTGGGCCACCCCCCTTCTCCTCTTTATTCTCCTGTCCGGATAGGTGCTCCTACGGTCTTTCCCCCCTTTCCCATCGACGGGGATCGGGTACTTGCTCCATTCCAAGCACCTGCTGCAAACACGTCCCCGGAACGCGGTGGTCACTCTTTAATATCGACATCCGGCACCTGCTTCTTCAAGCTGTTCTTACTTCCACCATTACCTTTGAACTGTCTTTCTAGAGACGAAGAAAAAAGCCAATCTAGATCTTGCTTCGACTTGCATCATTCAGTTTCCTGCCGGCTTGCATCATCCATCCCACATCTCCATCGCCAACTTAACTTTAAACTTCGCCTGGTCCTGGAAGCAACCATCGAAACGCACTTCTGCCCGCTCAGGTCCGCTCGACGCACGACGCAGACGCATCCCTCTTCCATCGTCACCCTTGTTTCCTGAGCTCGCTTCCTCCTGCAACCTGCAAGCTCTTTGCTGGATGGGAAAGTAAAACTTGGGGAAGGAAACGAAACAGAACTCCGTCTGGCAGGCAGCCCTTCCCGTCTTCCCCGTCTTGCACCATCCCTGTCAAGGCACGCTCTCTGGGTCTATCCGTACTCCGTAGACATCAGATCACCCACAGCTCCATTCATCCCTGGCCAAAGCTCCCCGGTATCCCTCTCATCATACACCCGTCACTTGTCTTCCCCCCAGCATCTCGCAATCTCTTCAGCTCTCATTTGTCGGAAACACCAGCTAGCCGCCTCTCGACTTTTGGTGAATCCATCAACTACCTAATCCGTCCACTCCCTGAAGCTTTCTCTAGCTATTCGGTCGTCTTGCGGATCTACGGTTTGCTCCACACGTTCTCAACACCGTCTGCCGCAATGGCGTCCCTCGAAGAGCTTCTCGATACTCTTCACTACCTCTATCCGGCATTGGCCTTCACCTATTTTGCAATTGCTTCTGCTGTTGCTGTGTGCACTCTTCAGACTCTGCGGGCAGCCAACAACCCAGGCAAAGAGTTCATCCCTCGATCATGGATCCTTAACCTCCTCGTTGCCTTCGTCCTGACCTACGTCGCCCAGATTGCCGTCATCGCCATTCAGTCCATCCTCCTTAAAGAATGGATTGGCCAGGAGCATGAGGTTATTGGCTTGCTCTCCTGCATTCTCGTCTTTGGTACCCAATTGGCCTTCCTCTCCGACACAGAACATCCGGTATGGACACCATACTGGGGCTCGTGGCTCATCTCCTTGGTTCTCGAGCCCATGATTGGAGTGCCAGATCTCATCATCAGACGATCCAGCACTTTTGAACACTGCCGCATCGCCCACCTTGTCTTCGCTGGTCTCCGCTACTATCTGCTTCTCACCATTGTTTCCGTCTACGTTGTCCAGCGTATCCGAGCTAGCCAGGAAGAGGCCACGGACGAAGAACGGCAATCTCTTCTCGGCCAAGATGACCCAAAGTCGCGCTTGAGCAGCTCAGGAAACGGGAGCCAGAGCTCTACTTCTACTTATGGAACGACAAGTGATCCGCCAGAGTCGTACTGGGCCGAACGCCAGCGAAAGGCACAGGAGGAGATGGAGAAGCGCCTTCAGGAAGAGGGCAACTGGCTGACGTACATTAAGGGCTTCGGCGTAAGTTCTTGAACCTTTCGTTGCTTTTCAACTCCCCTGATATCAGTAAATTGCCTAACACTACTCTAGATTTTGTTCCCTTATATCTGGCCTGTCGGGCAGAAATCCCTTCAGCTACGCCTTGTCCTTGTTGGCCTCTGTTTGCTCGCCGGCAACGCTCTTAACCTCTTGATCCCGCGTCAATTCGGTATCATTGTCGATGAGCTCAAGGATAGAAATTTCAGCAGTGCCTGGTACGGAGTTGCCATCTACGGCCTGCTCAGAATTGCTGCGTCAGACGCCGGTATCGAGTTTCTGCGAGAATGGCTCTACCTCCCTCTTGAGGTGTACGCTGATGGGGCTCTCAGCACAGCAGCCTATCGACACATCTTGAACCTCTCAGCCGACTTCCACGATTCAAAGAGCACATCCGACATCAGCCTGGCCATGTATGGTGGGTCGAGTGTTTCCGACCTTCTGGAGTCTATCTGCTTCCAAGCCCTCCCTATGCTGATCGACCTCGTCGTTGCCATCGTGTATCTCTCAGTTATTCTGGGGCCTTACGAAGGTCTCATCACCCTGGCGACTAGCACACTCTTCTTGTTCATCGCTACGAAGATGATTGCTGTGATGAAGGAACGCCGACGAGCCCACGTGAATGCCCAGTACGCCGAGCACTACGTACGCCAGACTGGAATCACGGGTTGGCACACGGTTGCATCCTTTAACCAGACGACATACGAAGATGTCCGCTACTCTAACGCAATTCACACCCGCATCAACTGGACTAAGCGTGTACGTCTTGGGTGGTTTACTGCGCAAGCGTTCCAGTCTCTGGTTCTCCTTTGCGGCCTTTTGGCTGGCGCGGTTCTGGCTGTATACAGGATCAAGAACAGCAAGGCCACCCCTGGTGACTTGACAATGCTTTTGATGTACTGGGCCCAACTCACGTCTCCCCTGCGGTTCATGGCCAGCCTCGGAAAGAAGATTGGAAGCGATTTGATCGACGCTGAGCGATTGTTGGACATCATGAAGAAGGAGCCAACAATCGTGAACAAGAAGGGAGCCCGCCCCCTGAAGCTTGTTGGTGGCAACGTCGATTTCAATGATGTGAGTTTCACCTACGACTCGAAGAAGAAGATCATCAACGGAATCTCTCTTTCTGTTCCCGGTGGCCAGACGGTGGCTTTTGTTGGCGCTACTGGTGCCGGCAAGTCCACCATGTTGAAGCTACTCAACCGTTTCTACGACGCCAGCGAGGGATCCATCTTGATTGACGGACAGGACGTGCGTGACGTTGACTTGCACAGTCTCCGGGACCGCATTGGCTTGGTGCCGCAGAATCCTGTACTGTTCGACGACACGATCATTAGCAACATTCGGTATGCGAGAATCACCGCCTCTGACGACGAGGTCTTTGAAGCCTGCAAGGCCGCTTGCATCCATGATAAGATTATGACTTTCACCGACGGATACAACACGCGAGTTGGTGAGAGGGGAATGTAAGTAACCACAGTTTCTGCACAAAGACGAGTCACTGATCAAAATCAGCAAACTTTCCGGCGGCGAACTCCAGCGTGTTGCTATCGCCCGGGCAATTCTCAAGCAGCCTGAGATCGTGCTTCTAGACGAGGCAACAAGTTCAGTGGACACCGACACAGAGCAGAAGATCCAGCAGTCATTCATGCAGCTCTGCAAGGGACGAACCACGTTCATTGTCGCGTATGTATTCCGTTTACTTCCAGCCTGCAGCGTTTTCATCCTTGCCACTGCGCCACTGAGCTTTCGGATTCATGTACTAATTAGAGACAGTCATCGCCTTTCAACCATCATGAATGCTGATCGCATTGTTGTCATCGAGGATGGTGTAGTTGTCGAGCAGGGCAATCACGCTGACCTCGTCACTGCTAAGGGAAGATATGCCGACTTGTGGTCTAAGCAAACCTTCCTGAAGCCCAAGGATGACAATTTGGCCAGCAGCAAGAAGTCGACTGCCAGTGACACTGACGACTCCACGCTCGATGGCACTTCGGACACCACAGATGCTTCCGCGTCCGAGGGCACCCAGACGACACCGACTCAGGCGAGTAAGGGAAAAGAGGCTGTTCAGACTCCCGGTAATCACAAGAAAGAGGTAGAGTCAGCTGAAGATTCGTCTTTGGCAGATTCTAACCACTAATTGTGTAGGGCTCTCGATTGAACCCTGTTGCACCCGAATTCACGCCTAAGTCAACACCCGTCACCAAAGTCTCTTTCCCATCTCCCAGTTGCCAACCCGTCACGAGATCCGCGAAGCCACATATCTCGCCCCTTCGCCAGACTCCCAAACGAGTCCTGAATTGGGCGAGCGCGACTTCTTCTGATGACGATTCCTCCCCGCGATCCACCGCCGGCGCCACGACTGTTCCTGTCGGCAGCCACGCTCATTTGAGCCCTCTGTCTGGTAGGAATTCCCTCCATGATCTATGATTGCTTTGCTTTCAATGAATCATATCTGACCGCTTTGTGACGTCAGGTGCCCGACACGCCAGTAGGGTACAAGATTCAGATAACGACTCGGTGAATACTGTTATCAAACTTGAGCTTCCCCTATTCAGGACCCCTCACTCAACTGCCCGCCGTTACAATGCCATGAGCGATTCGAATGGGCAAGCCGGTGGCGATACTGATGCGACAGACCAAAGTGGCGATGATGCTGATGGATCCATTGCTGTAAGTTCTTCACGGCCACCAACCGCAGAATGAGAGACTAAGTAGCTGCAGGAGGTACGCCACGTATCTGCACCTGTCTTGAAGCTGAAGGCCGTCACACCGGGCCAGGAGACTCGTGCTTCACCTATGACCATTGTTATATCCAAGGACTTGATCAGCAACAAGCTACCGACTGCCGCCATGACTAGCACCCCTATTCCTCGTCACAAGGAGAATATACCCGAGGGATCTCATGGTCCGGTTTCGGTCAAACCGACCTCGTCATCGTCCCCTCTCAAGGAGGTTACCCAGCCAAACTCACCGGCATGCTCGCTCGCTCGAGATTCGCACCAGTCCAACAACCATCGTGGCCAGCGAAGACGATATAACCGAGGCGGAGGCCGTGGACGTGGCCGCCATGGCCACGCGAAAACCCCGGATACACCTGGTGCTGCGGGTTCTCATTCTCATACTCATGGCGCCCATCATTAAGTTGGCTTTCGCAACTTCTCAATTAATTCTGCGCCGCACATTATCAGATTTCCTTTGTTCGGGTTGGCACCGATCCAATGTCACAGGACGGCATGTACTAGTTTTGACCCACCAAATTGCTTGGTTGGTGCCACTTTCTACGGTATTATTTAGAAAACGGAGCCAGCGCAAGCTGGCATGTGTAAAAAGAGACAGGGGTTTACATCTTGTATCATGAGAGTATTGTGTTTCGCATCAAAAGCAACCCAAAATTGGCGACGGATCAGTCTCATTAGAATTGGCGGGAAAAGCTTAGAACAGACTGGCGGATTCTTGAAGTTTAGATTAGACTGGATGTATGGATAAGACAGGTCGGTAGCTTGATCAACATGCCAAGTTACCTCAATAGTCCTTCACTGGTTCTCAGGCACATCATTTGACTTTCAGCAAGCAATTTCGACTCATTGGGCCATCGTGTGGTCTTCTATTCATGCGCGTGTGTTTTGTGTATGTTGTTGGGGTAATTCTAAAAGTGAGTCCCAGTGGTAATTGACTGTGTTTCCCGGCTTCTTCAACGATAATGTTCTGTAAAGAACGAATTTGATCGCCTTAAACAAGACTTTAGGCCGAGCCTCCACGGCCAGCACCGGCGCCTCCGCCAGGGGCACCTCCCGGTGGACCGCTCGGCGCATCTCCACCGCCCATCATGTTGCGTGCCCTATGGAGTTAGGATTGATCTGCTTCACTGGCAGAAATGGAGCACTTACATGTCGGCAATGTTGGGGTCAGACATGAGAGAGTTCAGGTCAGGCATGCCGCCACCGCTACCGAAGCGGTCGGCCATCTCGCGCAGGCGAGGGTTGCTCATGAGGTTGCCCATCATCTCGGGGTTGCTCATCAGGTTCTGAGCCATGCTCGCGAACATGGGGTTGTTCATGATCTGGCTGAAATCGGGCATGCCTCCGGCACCACCTGCACCGCCGGCACCACCTCCTCCGAGCATGCTCGCCAAACTGCTCAGGTCGGGCATACCGCCTGCACCACCGCCCATGCCGCCACCAACACCGGGTGACTGGCGGGGCAGATCGCGCTCCTCGACCGACATCTCCTCGACGCGGCGCTTGGCCGTCTCGAAGCCCTTCTTCATGGCCTCGCTGCCGCCGGAGCCTTCGAACTCGATGCCCTTTCCGTAGGCCTCCATTGCGCCCTTTGCGTCGCCGAGGGCGAAGCGGGCGAGGCCAAGGCGGGACCAGGCTTTCGTGTAGGCCGGGTCGACGGCGACGGCGGCCTCGGCGTCTGCTTTGGCGGATTCGTGGTCTTTGGCGGCTGAGTGAGCGGCCGCGCGGTTGGAGAGGAAGACGGCGTTGCCCGGGTTCAGGGCAAGGGCCTGGGTGTAGAGGGCAATGGCGGAGGGATAGTCCTTTGAGGCCATTGCGGCGTTGCCCTTTGATTTCAGGGCGTCTGCCTCCTTCTTGTCTTCTTCGGTTACCGTCTTGGAGGCGGAGGCGGCGGCGTCGGCTGCGCCTGCTGCTGCTGCGCCGGCGGAGGTATTCATGATCTTCTCGTAGACGGAGTAGACTTGGTAGAGGTTCTGGGCGCCGACGGCCTCTGCGAGGATTTTCTTGTCGGTGGGATCGACTTTGAAGGAGTCTGCGATGCACTGGATTGCGACGTCGATGGAGTCCTTGTCGTCGGCGGGGAGGGTGCCGTCATTGACGGAGGTGGAGAGGAATTCGCAGATTGCGACGGCGAGGCGCTGTTTGGAGGTTACTGTCGCCTGGAGGGGCGAGGAGGGGTAAACATTAGCTCATGATGATTTCCTTATTGGGTCGCTTGTAGGCATAGGGAAGGGACAGATGTGGTGTTTACCATTTTGACGATGTGTGAGCCTGTGAACGTGTATATATTGGATGGAGGAGGAAGGGCGTGAGGATTCGACACAAGGACGGGGTATCAAGAGGTGTTGGGAGATGGTGGAGAGCTTGGATGTGTGTTGTTGGTTTTTTTGGGGATCGTCTCCTTTGTTACGGCGACGGGTTGGGCTTTGCGGCTGCTTGGCTGCCCACGTCACTCTCCACGTTCTTTTTCGCCCAGTCGGTACGAAGTACAGCTGTTTGGCTGGAAGGTTCCAGCGCAGCCGCGGTGAAGGTGGGGGAGGGGAAGGGGGCACTGGGCGGGTGGGAGGCGACGGCGTTGGAGGGGAACGTACCGGTTACCCCGCTGAATGGGAAAGGAGCATTTTCTCTTGGCTTCATGCAATCATGCAAATATGCGGTTAAATGCACATGGGAGCTACACTCAATTCACTGTTGACCGCACGATTGTGGAACAATAATCTGACTTATTCATTAATGTTTGACAGAGGCCGTGGAGATGAGAAACGTCTCGCTGCCCGCCATGCGACAGCCATATCTAGTCCTACAGAAAGCAAACGTAAAAAGAGGTATAGACTCCTATCCTATCCGCCAACGCCCTTTGATATGCTGGTGTGTAATGTCGCTGTTAAATGTGTTTAATTACTTGTCTTGATGTCCGTCCGCTACCTAAGCAGCGGGAGAGGTAGAAGAGGTCTGGTTCCTCCGCCTGTCCACGTTGCGAATCTTGCGCAGTGGCTTGTTCTTTGCAAGACGGTATTTGGTATAGAGTCGGAACACGTCGCGGATGACAACGTACATGCAGCCCCCGACGAGGTTCCGACCCCATTGCTCCTGAAGCAGCCCCGTCCGGATCTTGAATCGGCCAAAGGTGCCTGCGGGAGATGTCCAGTGCTTAGGTAGCGCCAACCGGATGGCCTCGCCCATGGCGGCTGAGAAGACTGGGAGCAGGAGCGTGCTCACGATCGCGTTTGTGACGTCCTTGAGGCTGGCCTGGATGCCGCGCTGGCGGGGTGCTGCAGGCGCCGGTTGGGCTGCTGGTTGTTGAGGTGCTGCTCCCGCTGCCTGCTGGGGTTCGTTGCCCGGCTGGGGCACCTGAGCAGGGAGTATAATGGGGACGTCCTGCTCTGCTGCGTGAGCCTCCTCGATCTCCTCAACAAGAATCTCGAGATTGACGATATCTTGATCCTGTCCGACTTCCACCTCTTCCAGCTCGACCTCCATCTCCACGTCGGGGATATCTAGCATGTCGATGGCCGCATCGATGAGACCTCCCACCAAGCCGACGTTTCTAGCGGCTTGATTAGCGCCGTCGTTATTCCTACCACGACGGCGGCGGTTATCGTTCGGTCTGTTGTTTGCCTGGGGCGCGGGCTCGGGCAGTCCGGCGATTCTGCGTTCCCACTTCTTCTCGTACGGGCAGACGAACTCGTGCCAGAGGTTATTGTATACAGCTCTAATGTACGGGAAGGACGCTGCCGCAAGTTGAGGGGACGGGGGCCAGGAGAAGAAGTGGTCGTCTTTGGCCATGTGGAATACGCCGTACTAGATCATGTCAGTAAGTTGATTCAGGAGCAAGTGCGACACAAGGGTACTTACCAGTGCCGCGGCGGGCATGAAGAAGACATTGCCCAGAATAGGTACCGACGAGCCCAGGACCAGGGCGGGCGCGATAGTCGGCAGGATCGCGACATGGATCCAGTTGACCATGGGCACGCCTCTAGGGTTCCTGTCGTTGAAGAAGAAGCGATATGTCGCCTCGGGGCCCGCAAACACCCGCACCGCAATGTTGCCGTACATGGCCAAGCTGACCCATGTGCCCGCGCCGATGCCGCCGAGGATCAGGCCCGGCGATACCCTGCTGAAGGACTTGTAGATCTGGTTGCTGAGCGCGAGCGCCGGGTCGTAGGGCTCGTCGATGTTGATCTTGGCCTTGCACACTGGGCAAAGGATCTCCTTGCCCTCGCGCTCCAGCTCTGTAACCCACTGGATCATGCAGTCTTGGTGGCCTTCGAGGGTGCAGGGGCACGGGTCGACCCAGGCGGATTCGGAGGCACCGGACTCGTTCTCGTCCATGAGGCAGATGAAGCAGCGGCGCTCGCCATCTTGAGGCCCGGCCGAGAGTGAGGGATTCGTGTCGGTCATGCTGGACGGCTGATACGGGGAAGGTCAGGTGGAGGTCGTCGGTTCGTTGAGGTTCGAGGGTGGAGGTGCGGAGGAGGGTGAGGGTATATCGGGTGCGGGAGCTCAAAGCCCACGGCGCAACAAGGTTCGCAAAGGTGGGTGGATATGTGCTTCTAGCGCATGGTAAAGTTTGAAGAGAAAGCGTACAGTTTGGTATTGCGAAGGTACAGAGAATCGATAGCAAAATATGGGATATCGTGGGGTGCTTGTGAACAGCCTGATTGTTCGTTTGGTAGCTGATGAAGCTTGAATGGGTGACATCAACCGCCCCAAATGTCCGACCAACCGCGAGTGGAAGTCTATGGTGAGCCGAGGCGCAGGGTGGGGCGCTCGGGAGTCAAGGTTCTTGAACTTGTGTGGCTTGTGGAGATATGTACCGTGAGGTTCCGTCGCTGGTGTGGCTGTGTAGAGATCTACATATCTCTCAGATTTGACGGCGCGAGTACTAAAACCAATCCTGCATCCTCCAAATCACTGGATGATGCAGTATATTAAAACGCAGAAGATCGAGCGTCTAAACCAGTTTCAGTTGCTTTGGAATGCGGGTTGTTAATATTGCTACGCTAGAAAAATTCACCCAAGATTCGGCCGACAACACCACTGCCATGATCCTTGTCCATACGCAGCGCAAACTCCTTTGTTTCCTTCCAGACATTTTCGCCAAACTTCGCTCCATCTACGCCGAGGGCGTATTCTTTATGATCCTGAGAGAGATGATCGTCGGTCCACATCTCCCCGCGCGCCTCTTGTCCGAGTTCCAAACTTGTCATGTAAATATTCGCGCCCTGTTCTACGGTGCGCGCAACGGTGCTGTTGACCATTTTTGCCATGACACCCAAGAATCCACTTCCCGCTGAGTGTCGCGACAAGCTGCTGTTGACTGCTCCCGGGCACACGGAAACCACCAGGATAATGGGCTTTCCATCGCCATCAGTGATGGAGGAGAGTCTTGCCAGATGGCGCTTTGCGTATTCGGTCATGAGCTTCGACCGGGAGTAGTGGTACTGTCCACCCATCATTCCCCGCGGAAAGTTTTCTCGCTTTGACAGCTCCGTCAGCGGCTTCTTTGAGGCGAAGAAGGGTTTGATATCGGATCGTCTAGTGAGCCACGCTGCTCCTGAGCTGACAATGGTGAGGTGAGGTCGCTCCGATACTGACGGCTTGCTGACAAGCGGAGAGGCAAGTAAGAGTGGCATTAACAGAAGTGAAAGAAGCGCTGGTGAGATCGCGTTGACTTGCAGGCTGATCTCGAATCCGGTGGGCGCGGTCTCATAGCTACCGAGCAGTATGCCTGCGCTCAGAATAGCGTGGTCGAGGTGATCAACGGCCTTCTCTAGCTTGGCAATGAATTCGTAGATCGACTTCGGGGATGTCATCTCGACGACCAGAGGGATGATGTTTGGGGCGACAGTCGGCTGTTGTGGAAGAGATGCCAGGTGATGCTGGATAGCTTCTTTGGTCTTCTGGGCCTTCAAATCATCTCGGGCGGTCACAACCAGTGTTGAAACGCCCTTAGTTGCAAGTTGTTTGGCGGCTTCCAAACCGATGCCAGTTGATGCCCCTACGAGGAGGACCGTCAGGCCATCCAGCCGTCGAGAGGACGGCTTGGGCGGGTGCATTCGCGCTGTAAGTACTTTCAGCATGATTTCGAAAATAATGTACGACTTTGACAGGAACTAGCGGCATCGCAAAGATGGAATCACGCCAGTCTAAGTACCATCTTCATCCTTCGTGCTGATACCTACGCCTACTATCGAATTATCCAGCTATTTGGGTCTACTAGAGGCACCCTAGGTAACGGCGGGTTCTCTTTCGCGTTCGCATGATGTGGGGCCGATGACGGTCCCTAATAGGGAATAGAGAGCCTACATCCCGGCGTGCCCGGGCCCGCCGAATCCGAATGAGAACGCGAAAGGTCATCTGGACCAACCACACCTTGGGTAAGAAGCTTTCCTCCTTCATCACCAATGGAACAAACAACATTACAGCTTGGGTGACAACCTGCTGTCCTCTCATCTTGCATAACATGGTCAATAACCGCCTCGGACATTCAAAGTCTCGATTGGGGTGTGTACGGTGTAAGAAGAGACATGTGAAAGTATGCTTAGCTACAATGGACGTGCCCAAGAATACTCGACAGCTGACCGGGCTTTCCAGTGTGACGGAAAACGGCCCTGTTCGAACTGCGTAAAGCACGAGGTCCCTTGCAGCTTGATTTCGGTACCTATTGGTTTGCAAGCCTCGGAAAGGGGGTCAAGTGGTAGCCCAAGAACCCGAGAAGAACCTTCCATTCAACAGGCCAAGTTCACTAGGATTCGAAACCTGATACAGAGTCTCTCCGGTGAGATTAACCTGCTTGACGAGGATCAAAACACTACATGGGATCATAGTACTTGCCATGAGCAGAATCTACAAGACCTTCGGTTGATGCACCATTTCACCACATCCGCGGCCCTGACTGTTGCAGACGGCCCTTCTCTTCGGGAGGCCTGGCAGGTCACTATCCCGGAACTTTCATTCTCTTGCGTGAGTTAGCTAGTGATATCATCGAGGCTCCTCGCGGATTGTCTTCTAATGGCCACCTGTAGGATGGCCTCCGCCATGACATTCTCGCATTTGCAGCCCTGCATCGTGGACATCTTTTCCCGGCTGAAAAGGACGTGTGGATTGTCGCCGCGCAACGACATCTGACTGCCGTCTCAGTGACTCGGGTACCTTACTCTGGCCGAGGCAGCACTGAAGATGCAGACTGTTACTTCGTACACACCCTCTTGAAGTTTTCAATGGAGATTTACCGCATAGCCCAGTCGCCTGGACCTGTTAGCGTCTCTGATGTTTCGCAATTCTTCACCACATTACATGGTTGGTCACCTGACTGCTTCTATTACCAAACCATTTGATTTGAATAGCTCTAAAGGATTTCACTTCACAGAATTAAGATCCGTGTTACTGTCCGATGTCGGCCAAGGCCTTGGCAAAGGGGCACTCGCATCCTTATTCGACACCGGAATCGAATCGTTGTCTCCCCTGAGCGAGGAGCTGGAGCTCACATCTCGCCTCCCCCAACTCGAAAATTTACGTAGAGGAGACACGGACTTGCAGGTGGCAGTGATTGTTTCCAAGGTTTGTCTTGCAGCGTTGGAGATTCTGGACATGACTTGCCGCTCAATGGTCACGCCGCTCAAGAACCGTGGTCTCGTATGGTACTGGCCCTTCTTCTTCCCGGTTGACTTTCTCCACCTGTTGTCTGTTGAAGAACCTGTTTCCTGTGTTCCACTAGTTCACTATGCAGCATTGGTTAGAGTTATGGAGGAGGACTTCTGGTACTGTCAGGGATGGGGCTCAAAAATCTGCTCTCTTGTTGCTCACATCCTGCCTGACCCATGGAAGGTTTGGATTGAGTGGCCTCTTCAATGTATTGAACAGGGGATTGACATCCGGAAAATTCATAAGATTTGAAGACCATACATGTATTTACGGCATCGGGGCCCGCCAAGATGGAGAGCTCTGTTACTTCCGGTACCACATCCGCGCAGAATTAGTCTGTCGTATCTTTCGCTGTAGCTGTAGAATCCCATACATCAACGCCTCGCTCGTCGGCGGGCACCCCGGAACGTATATATCTACAGGCACTACACGGTCGCACCCGCGAACCACACTGTAGCTATAGTGATAATAGCCGCCACCGTTGGCGCAACTTCCCATACTAATAACCCAGCGGGGCTCCGGCATTTGATCATAGACCTGTCCTAATGCCGGTGCCATCTTATTTGTGAGGGTCACGGCTACGATCATTCCATCGGCCTGTCGTGGCGATGCTCGGAAGATGATCCCCAGCCTGTCTTGGTCGTAACGTGGTGTTGATAGATGCATCATTTCGACTGCACAACAAGCGAGGCCGAAGGTCATCGGCCACAGAGAGCCTTGGCGGACCCAAGTGCTTATGGTGTCGAGAGATGACCTGAAGTATTGAGACCTGTGAGCAGCCTGACGAAGGGGAAGTCGAGCGGATGGCGGATTCGAGACTGAACGACTTACAGCAGATGCTGAGCCGTTCCTGATATAGGCTGTTGGCTAGCGAGGGAGACTTCTCTCCGTATTGGTTGTGTTCTAGGTGGAAGTAAACTGTTTTCCGCAGCTGTCTTGTGGAAGGTCCGTTGGCCTGATGGCAATGAAACGAGTAATGCAGCGCCTGTACCATTCAGAGAAAATCTGGCGCGGGCTGCGCTGAAAGACCGCAGTAATGGTCTGCTGATGGTTCTCAAGACAGACATTTTGATGCGGATTGCATGAAGAAAGACGAATGATGACGAGAAGAAGAACAAATGGATTGATTCCGTCACAATAAGTTGATAAGTAGGTCCATTGGGGTTTCATCTAACAAAAGATTTCACAGAACGTACATGATGTCCTCACACTCGGGTTCGGGTCCGGGTTCGTAACTGACTAGTCCAAGATCAGAAAGTGATATTGTCTTGAACAGCGCTTCACTCAACGCAACTTCAACAATCAAAACAACAAGCAAAACAAACAACTGCCAGAAATCTGCCCTCAATCAATTCAACTTCGAGGCTAAAGTTGATTGTATAAGTTGGCTAGATTAATAGATATTCCAGTGCCGTAATTCTACTAGTTACCCCCCTATTAAGGTCTAAGATACTAGCTACCCCTTATTAATACCTACATTCTATAGTATTAAGTAGAGTTTTCCCCCCCTGAATTCCCCTTACCAGACACCTCCTTTTCTCTTCCTCCCTTCTCTTTTACCCAGTCCACTCTATCTTCCTCCTTCTACTGTTAGTTAATATAATCAATATCATGACTACTCCATTAACATCCAATACTCTCTTACTCCTTCGTCAATCCCGAACTATTCCTACATAAGTCTAGGTAGCTAAATCTATAATTAATATGCCATTAACGTGCATGATAAGCAAGCGAGCGGATCGCTCGACAGCAACCACTCCACGTATGTAAATCTTGATCAACATCAACAAAGTTTAATTAATTGAAACTACCCATAATCCTCTTCTCTAGACATTTCTCTCTGAAATGGACATGTACGCGCATTATATCCAGTGTTCCCGCAGACGCCACATCGCCGTTGACCTGTTTCCGTCCTCGGCCGACGGCCACTACTCCGGTGCGTTTCCTCCTCAATCTGAGCTGTAGCCTCTCTCTGTGATTGAAGGTCATCTGCCTCAGCTATAGTAAGGCTCCCTCCTTGCCTAAGACGAGTTTTCTTAGATCTCCGCCGTCGGCTAAGTAGATTATTCTCCTCCCGAAGGGTTTTGTTCTCAGCCTCTAGAAGAGCATTACGATGCATCATAGCTAGTGTCCCTTTGAGGATATGGTTAACTGCGTTATTAGCTAGTGTTAGCGAGCTATTTGGATAATTTAAGATTCGATCTTTAATCAAAGTTGACTGAGAATTTGCCTCTATTGGGTTGTTTGGTATCTGAGAAGTCCACGCTAGGGGTGTTGCTGGGAGAGACCCTGGGGGCGTTGGAGTGTGTAACTTCACATCTAGCTTCGAACATGGTGACCAGGCAACAAAGGATATGTTCAGGATCAGGACTTGTATATAGGATGGACTCGAGCCGGGCTCTAGGACAGACTTCCCATAGCTTCTTCAGCAATTAACTTCGTATCAGGATTAACATCCGCTTTCAGCTACTACCTTGACAAGACTACGATTGATCATCGAAGCCTTACCTACCCTTACGATTGACAGACATAGCTTCCCTGAAGCTATCCCCGACTACGATTACTGTTACCAGTTCCGCAGCCTCAACTTCTGCAAACTACCCCTACGACTAGCTGGCCGTAACAGAGAGGTAATATTGGCCTACAACGATAATATATAGCGGAACCCTATTCACGATTGCCAGGCTGCGTCATTTTCGTGTTTGAACACCTTTCAGCACTCGTGATAACCATTCCGAATACAATCTAGCCCATCATAAACCCAGTCTCATCAAAGTTATAGATATCGGAGTCTACAATACCGTACTTCGCAATTATTGTTGGAATAGGCCTACATTAGGCAGCAGGAGGTTGCTGCCGCGGTCCGTTCCAGCCACGGTGGTCCGTGTGGCTCAGCCACACGAGGGTGGTATACCCCAGACTTCCTGCCGCCGCTGGCACCGGGTTAGACTTCCACTCAAAAACAACAACAAGAACAAGCAATATCACCACTACAGTCGGTGATCGTTGCTACCCACGATACTCGAGTATTTTCCTTTTCCACCTGTGAATCCAACAATTATATTCGCCACAAGGCGAAACCACGCGTTTATTACATCTAGATCTTCGCATTAGGCCCTCTTATAATCATACTTGCGAAAAAAGCACATCCGGAGCTATAGTTGTCGCTTAACGAAGTTCGAAGCCCAGCGCTTCCCAACTAGGGGCGCGTCGCGGTCGGCAAGTAGTCGATTAGCCATTGCTTCTACACCACTGATCCGGGGAGGAAACGATCGGGAACCTAGGTTGAGGATATATTCAACTAGCTTCTCCTCTTCAAGCTCCGTCAATTTGCGTGAGTTAGGTATAGTATCTTGTCGTGCAGGTGTGCCTTTTAATCGGGTGCCTAGGGTCCTAAGGGGGACTGAATAGATTCTTGCTGCGGCTTGAATGCTGAGTTTAGGGTTTTTTTGGATAGCCTCGACTGCTAAGTTTAATTGGGCCTCTTTGTTTTGTGACGACATGATTATTTGTGGCGTGATATGTATTAGAAGGGAGGAGGAAGGATGAACGCGGTTAGGTGGGCAGCTCGCTTGTCTGGGCAGCTCGCTTATCAAGTACGTTATAGGTAGTTAGTTTATTATATAAGTTACTTTATCGCGGTGGCTTTTTATTCATTAGTTATGCTTTTAAGTTAAAGCGGTAATAACAATTAAATAAGAAGCTATAGTTACAAGTCCCTTATTAACTTACTTATAGTTATACGATAGTGTTACGGCCAGCTAGTCGTAGGGGTAGTTTGCAGAAGTTGAGGCTGCGGAACTGGTAACAGTAATCGTAGTCGGGGATAGCTTCAGGGAAGCTATGTCTGTCAATCGTAAGGGTGGGTAAGGCTTCGGTGATCAATCGTAGTCTTGTCAAGGTAGTAGCTGAAAGCGGATGTTAATCCTGATACGAAGTTAATTGCTGAAGAGCTATGGAAGGTTGTCCTAGAGTCCAGCTCAAGTCCATCCTTATATACAAGTCCTGATCCTGAACATGTCCCTTGTCCCTTGGGTCGTCTTGGGTCATTCTGATCCAGAATGATCGTTTAGCCCCCAAGTCGTGTTGGATCATATTGATCCCAAATGATCCTTATCTTATCATCACGTGACTTGTACCATAGTTCTTCCGTTCCGTGAGAGGGTGCCTTGTGTCCCCTTGTCCTGTGCATGTATGGCGTATCGTAACCGTCGTAAGCCTGCGGGGCAGGCCCTGTTCTTGGTCGTGCATGTTGGGTCGTAACATTAAGGCTAGCTATCATCGTCAGGTCCCCTACCCCTCATATATCGCACATAAGGCGGTCGATCCAGAATATGAATACTTCGATTAGGTTAATAGATACTCTATAAGTACTTTATAATTACTATTATTAACTAGATTCTTAGGAATAACTTTAATACGTAAAGTATACTAGTTAATCAAAACCACTTTTATAAAGATAAGGTCCCCTATACCGCCCTCTTTATTATACACACGCTTTAGAATACCGTGCGCATATCTAACTAGGACCGCTATAAATAAGACGTACGTCGTTATTTTACTATTACTTTATCGCTACTCATGTTCTTTATTAATAATATATAGGCCTATATGTTACGGCCAGCTAGTCGTAGGGTGTTACGAGCTGGACAAGGCAACCAACTGTGGCACAAAGCAAAAGCTTCGATAATGATGACTCCGGCATCATTGTCCCTTGTTCTGCATTATATAGCTACGCGCCCACAGTGACAGGTTGCGGCGGGCGTAACAAATGCAGAACAAGGGACAATGATGCCGGAGTCATCATTATCGAAGCTTTTGCCTTGTGCCACAGTTGGTTGCCTTGTCCAGCTCGTAACACTGCTCCTCCCTCGACGTGTACTCCCTACGCTGTATATATATCTGAGCTACTCCTTTGTTGCTTGGACTCCTTACTACCTCTAACTAGCCCCTATCCGGGAGGCCTCTGACACCTGGGGCCGTGTTGAACCGGATAGCCTTGATAGGGGCAGTGACCCGGACTCAGGAAGTCCGAGGGCGCTCAATCCTCCGATCCTGACAAACCACACGCCAGTATTTGGACGACATCCAGCTAAGATACGTACAACTCGCTGGTTGGGGTCCACGGTCGCGTACGTATCCACAAGCGTGTCTTCTGTCATTTCGGTTCGCACACGATACCCCGTCATGCTCTGGGCGTAGTAGACGTACACCGGGTACTCCCGAGCAGGACGGTAACTAGTGTCGTACATGTCATGGTTGGCACCGGTCTTGTCCTTTCCGAGGAGGTATGCCAGATAGTCGTTGAGTTCCTGACCACCCAGCCAATTGGCACGGAGACCGGGCACGTTGTGTCGCTCTAGCTGACCAATGTTCCATATGAGACCGGAGGGAACCTGCTGGTCGGGGTGGCCGTACTCCTGGACGTTCCAAGTGCCTTGAAAATCGACACCAGCAACGTTCAGATACTGGCGATAACTGTTGATTGAGGTAGTCAAGTCCCCGTTCCCGTAGAGGAAATGAAGACTGATCTGATCTGGAATGGAGTTGTTTGATTTAATGAATTCAGCCCATCGCGAGAAATAGTGTTCGACGCCGTGCGAAAAGTTTGGCAGATGACCGTACGAAGGCCCGATGACTTTGGCGTTGGGAAAGTCCCTCCTACGGAATGATTAGCTGAGAGAACTTTGGTTTTAGATGTTGAGCCAAGCTTAGAGCCCCCCAACTAACATGATCTTGTAATAGGCGTGGCCGCAGTACTCTAGCCATCTATCGATTCCGCGATCAAGGAAGTCAACATTGTCTATTTCATTCCAAAGGTCCCACCAAATGTTGTCGACCATGCCATCCTGCTTCAATAGAGCAAATAAAGTGTCGAGGAAGTTGTCAAAGTCTTGATAGCTTCCGCCGTCGCCTGGCATCGGCGTCTCGGCGAAATTGGGGTACGAATCAGTCCCCCACATGTCGTGGATCATGATCTGGAAGTTTCCTCCACGACTTCGTGTCACCTGGTAAGCAGACTTGAGGTACTCGTAACGTCCCTGCCCCAATCATCAGCAAAGATCGGGGTACAAGTGACTACCTAGTACGTTTACATGCAACTTACCATGAATTCGTTCAGTCCTCGCGTCCATCCGCGGCGGGGGTCAGCTAGCTGGGAACCACCAGATCTCATATTCCAGAATTTGATATCAGATAGCCAGTGGTCGGGGATCTGGTCCGGGTTGCTTGGGATGCCTAGTAAAACGCCCGAAGCCATGTGTCGTGGAGTACCGATGTTGTCGTTCAGCCAGACGTATGAAGAACCAGAAAGATCCCTCTTTTGGATGATAGAATTGGATAAAGGCTCCGGAGTGCCCAGAACTGCGCCCAGAATCGGCGATACCAGGCCCCATAGGAGGAACAAAGCATTTCGAGTCATGGTGTTTGTAACTCTAGCGTGCTGACTCTGCTTGAGATAAGACTTGAGAAAATCCTGTCGTGGATAACATATCAAATGAGCCGTGATCGAGGGATCAAGAGGGACTTTATACGACGCTACTCTTTCTTCAAGGTCCTGATATCTCAAGTAAAATCACAACATCTCAAATTACTAACACCGCAATTTTTCAATGACACCTGACGTACCTACAGGAAGAGTCTTAGACATACAAAGGTGGCAGATGAATCACATAGGGATCTATCAATGTTGATTCTATAGGACAGCATCACCACACTTCGGCCCTGGGTGCATGCCAAGCCCGGTGGGGATTTGCCCGGTTGGCGTCCGGTGCACAATGCTTATTGTGTCGTGCCGGTAGTAGGTAGTTCGAGAATGAGAGGAACCGTCATTGGTTTACTGCCTCTAGCGAGCACGCAGTACTACCCCGTCCAGGAGCGGTTATGGTGATGCTCGGTAGAAACAGGGACGGCGGGGGCGGGGTACTCAAGTGGTCCCTTCGGCTCAAGCGAGGGCAAGCTTGGAAATAAGACAATCGAAACTACTGGTTCTCGCAGGCTTCATATCCCCAAGTATTGGATCCAAATACTTCCCTCTAATCAGCTGTATGCATCTTGATAGCAAAAGTATTGTGCACTTGTGGCTATGCACCTTTACCGAAGGTATGTGAATAGGTCTGGCTCACATGCGTCTCTACTTTCTATTTCCTTCTTGGTTGTCTGATCGATTGATTAGATTGATTGGATTACGTCAAAGGCTCCAGTCGATTCGCGCCTTATCAGGTTAAATAATCTCTGATCATCACTCGCAAACCTGGTCCGCGGTTGAACGAAAGCTCCATCATGGAACTAGGCGGGGCTGACCCAGGCACGGCGCCGAACGGAGCATCCGCGCGGGAATACCGTGGAGCGGACAGTAATGGGACAGGAACTGGAGGCGTGGTAGATAATATCCTGTGAGGACTACACGTATTTAAAAACGACTTGCGTCTTCTTTTTGCCAACTTATATATTTTCATTATCTCCAAAATACACACAGAGCACCCTAGACCAGTAAAAAGCCCTTCATTGCCATCTCTACCATGAAGTTCATCCAAGTAAATGCACTCCTGGGTAAGTCAGTTGGAACTCCTCTCCGGAAGTTCTTGGAATACTAACTCTTGATCCATGACAGCGTCAATGGCCATCGCGGCTCCCGTTAAGCAAGAAGCGCGCACCGAAACAGGAGCTGGCCTCGAAACACGTCAGGGCTACGAGTGCGACTGGTCTTCTGGTCCCTTGGGCGGATGTCCTTAAGATCATAATGATCTTATTGCCTACGCTACACCGGTCCGAGATGGACCATATCAGAGGCACTCTTTCTGATTCAAGTCTCGGAACCCTCATAGCCTTCACTCTATGTTTTCGGTCTTGGCCATCTCAATTGGAGGACTTGATTAATTATTACGTACATTTTGAAGCCTCAGATAACTCATTTACAAACCATCAATCAACTTGGGCAATATGACATTGTTGTACTCCCAGACCACAGTCGAGAAGCCTGCAGAGAAGGCTGCTCCCGTGTACCAGGTGGAGCGGCGACCTTGAAGAGCCGTCTGTCTCTGAATGAACCCAGCGCGGAGCTCTTCGCCAGGAACGCGAGGATGCATCTTGCCATGGTTCGCAAAAGCAACAAAGCTGAGTGTGCCGTTGGAAACAGGGACGGTCCCGGCCTCAATCAAGTTGTCAATGGAGTCGGCGATGACAGCCTTGATGCTCTCCAAGGTATCCTCATCCGTGCCGACGGCCGTGAACTGGAAAAGGTCCTTTGTGCCACCGATGTAGTCGATGCGGCCCACCTGAGAGGGAGTAGGGAAGACGGTGTAGTTGGTCGAACCAGAGGCCGGCGACCTGTTGGAGTAGGCGGTGCTGGTCTGCAGCGAAGGGTGGCGGAGGATGCCGGCGTAGACGGTGGTGAACTCGATCTTGTCAAAGACGTCTGTCTCCGTCTCGTCCGGGCTGAAGGGCGCGAGGCTCTCGGGGGTCGGCTCGAAGGCGATGAGTAGGCGCTTTGCGTTGATGCAGGTGAGGGTGCCATCGGCGCCGGCGACCTTCACGGAGACACCCTCGTCGGTACGTTGGGCCGTAGAGACGACGGTGCTGGAGTAGAGGACGTCGTTGCCGAGGAACTTAGCAACGCTCTCGTAAAGCTCGTAGAGGCGACCGGAGGCCGGGACTGCTGCGGCGGCGGTTCCCAGCAGAGCTCTTACCATGGGGACTCCGGAGGCCTGCATGACGAACAAGGTCGGCACGTCCATGGTGTCACCGAGACCCTGGGCCGTGGAATCCCAGATTTGGGGTACGGCGGCGGCGATGTCGTACTTTTCGACAAACTCGCGGAAGGGCATGACCAGGTCATCCGGAATGGCGTCGGCCTCGGGGAAGTTCTCGAAGCCCGGGAGGATGATATCCTCGTACTTCTCGAGGACGTCGAGGTACCTCTGCAGCGCGGGGTACATGGCGTCTGAAGAGGGTGCGGTCCAGCCCGTTACTGGTGAGCCCGTTTTGAAGTCGACGTACTTGTAGTCGAGCGTGGTGAACTGCATCAACCCGCTCGTTGAGACGTTCATGCGCTTCGGGAAGTCAAAAGTGTCTTTGTATTCCATCCATGCCTGGACACCGACGTTGATGGACTTGTTGGAGTCCGCATCGTAGTAGAAAGCCGTGTGACCACCCTTCAAAAGAAAATCAGTTACGATATTTTATGGTGACCGAACGGATTTGAGGAGCAGCATCGAAGAAGAGAAGGTTGAAAGAAGAGGATGTAACTCACAAGTTGGCTGGCCTTCTCCACGACAACCACACTCTGATCATGGTCCCTCAACCACACGGCGGCATGCGAACCAGCGGCACCACCGCCGACAACGACAACGTCCCGAGAGATAGTGTGGTTGCAGCAGCTCAACCCAGCCACGCCCTGTGCCACCAATGTGGCGACAAGGCTTGCACCCGCACGCATCTTGCTAGAACGCATATTGACCGAGAAAGTGCGAATGATTCACAGAGTGTACACTAACACGTGGTTTCCTGGAATGCGGCAGTGCTTCAAGTGTGGTAAGGTGACCGGTACTGAAACGCACATCTACGGCAAGTCTGCAGAATCTCAGGACTTTAAATCGAGTGATCACAATGCATATAGCATAACACAACATCCAACTCCCGATGGTTGAAGACTGCATCTGCATAGACTACCTACATGACTTCCCGAATAAGTAAGAGTATCTCGGTTGGTGGAATCAATCGTCTTGGCCGCCCGCCATTCTCGCCGACATGGAGTCTTCACCCCGCATTGGACCAACGGCCGCTGCATGCCGGAGATTGCAATGTGACCGATGGATCCTAGACAGGTGAACCAAATCGTGGAACTTTGTTGGATGTCACATTGATTTTGTCCAACCAACAAGTCCAACAACGAGAGAGTACCAGCATCTTTCAAAGATGGTGTGATAACATTGTACCTAGAGGGGTTTTGAGCCAGGATCTGAGGACAGAATGCTCCGCTTTGGTGACCGGGGCCCCGAGCCCGGCCGTCCGAATGAGTTGAACCATCAACCAACAAGCCAGGTGGATGGTTACCGGGGGTCAAATGCAGGGGCACGGCGCAAACATCGTCCGCAGTCCCACCCGGGCCGATGGCCTCGATTACCCGAGCCAGCTCATGCATTCGAATTCTGCGTGAATTGCATGATCCCCGGTCGACATTGATAGATGAAGAATGAGGGCCGGTTGTGGCGTTGTCGGTATACTTCCGAATCACCGCATCTTTGTCTCGAAATGGATGTGGAAGGATTGGTTTGGAAATTCAATATTGACTTGCATTTTGTTTGCTACTTTTATTGTGGGAAGTATACTCCACGATGAGCAGCACCATGATATCCCACCTTCGCATAGGTCCAACTACGCCAGTGCACGCGGCCCGTGGCTAGATCGGACTGGGCCGGATCGTCTGGCCTGTTCACATTGAGGTTTGATGACCCCGGCGTTCGATGACCATGCTTTGCGATGAGATTCGTTGCGACCTGGGCATTCAAGTCTTGACACCATCACAGAGTCACTGTTCGCCCCACGATCTTGGCAAATGAAAAACATGTGGCAATGCACTGCCCAGAAATCCCGGTATCTTCAACCCCTTTCTCTCCCCTGTGCCACACCAACACAGGTTCTTCAAGATTGCGCGTTGGAAAACCGTCACCAGCATCGTTGTGGATCCCTCGGAGGATGGAACTTACGAATCGAGCGATAGTCTCGCAAAAAATAACGTCCTCCAACAGCAGCACATGCCGGTCCTCTTTCTTCTTACTGGGAGTCGAGATATCACTAACTAATGGCTGACTCCTGGTGAGGTTAGGTTGTGACAGGTTGTGACAAAGTGCAGGGTGAAAATTTTTTCTTCTTCCTCTTGAGCCTAAATTCGGGGAACGTCGAAGAAGGGCGCATGAAGCCAAGATAGGCAAGTCGTGGGGCCAAGCCGAGGCTGAAGAGAAGAAGTTTTGTAGCCAGAAGGATGGGTACCTGAGAGTCTTGAGTCTTTGTCTGGGCCGCTAAAAACAGGCAATTGTGGGAAAAGATGGATGTCTAGTTCATCGCCGTCACCGGTGCTTTCTTTCTCAGCTCTCCGCATTTACAGTCATGAAGTAACGATGGATGAGTTTCCTCCTGAGTACGTCAATGCCAGCAACGCAGGGCGGATCGTCGGGGTGGTTGGAGTTTTTCACTTCCTCGCCTTGGCATTCGTCTCGCTCCGCATATATGCTCGGCTGGTGTTTCTCAGGGTCTTTGGAGCCGAAGATGCCCTCATTGTTGCAGCCGCAGTAGGTCTACGTTCTACAGGTGGTTCAATGACCATCTGAAGTCGAAGGTTGAGTGATTACTAAGTAGAAGAAAACATAGATCTTCGCCCTTGTCTCTTGGGTTTGCCTAGTTCTTCAGATACCGTACGGCCTCGGCCGCCACGGCACGACCATACCGACCGAAGATAGAATCGAGTTCGAACAAATATCCTTCTGGAAGACGGTCTTGTCAGATGGTGTTGCCATGGGGCTGCTCAGGGTTTCGATGGCGATTAGCTTGCTAAGGCTTAAGAGGGACCTGCAATGGTATCGCTGGTCTCTGTACGCCGTGATCGGTACGTCTGATGGCGAAGAGTCTTTCTGCCATTGTTTGTACCTCAGAAATCCAATCATTGACACTCGTAGGATTTGTCGTGGCGTATTCAATTCAAGCAATTGCTTGGCTATTCGTCTACTGCACCCCATATTCGGGCTGGTGGGAGTTCCAATGGATGAACCCCTTTGATCCAAGGTGTCACGACTTCAACCTGTTCATCAACCTGACATACTGGAATATCTGTGAGTCCAACCAGGTATCGGCCTCCAACGAATTCTGACTCAATATCTTGTTAGCCTGCAACATCTTCACTGACATTTGCTTGGGGGCGCTTCCGATTCCTATCATCTGGCATCTGAAAATGAGATTTCGCGTCCGCCTTTACGTCATAGGTATTCTCAATCTTGGTTACTTGTAAGTATTGACGATTATCTGCTATTTGCCAAGTTTAACAACCGCTGACGTTGGTCTTGATCCAGCGCCATTATCATGGGCATACTCAAGGCTGTGTTCATGTTGACCACGGGTGGAAATCCAGATGCTATTTTTGACTATTGGGTTCATTTCTGGCAGAAGTACGTATAACCTGCCCCTTTCTTCTGCATTATCGTGTGTTGTGTCATCATATGCTAACTCTGTTGTGCAACCAGTCTCCAACTTAACATCGGCATCATCGCAGCCTGCGCCTCCTACCTCAAGCCCCTTTTCGGCCGCCTGTTGAAGATCAACAGCTCAGTAGGCTACTCCCCAAGCAACGAGCGCTACGGTCGAAGCGGACAGACTCCCCTCGGCGCCGGTGCCTCGCGTAGCAATGCGTACGCGAGCGATAACAAGAGGGGCAGCAGAATCCCGCTGGATCGCAGTATACATGACGAGTTCGAGATGCACACCAAGAGCGATTGCGTCGTGACCGGAGCATATGTGTCTGGCATCGTTGCGAGAGGTGACGCCGTGCGCTCGCCGGTCGCTATGGAAGGCCGATGCTCTGCTGAAGCTGTGTATGCTGGGGCTTTGCCTTCTGATACGAATAGCGAGGAGATCATACTGCAAAAGAAGCATGGGCGTGGGATTGTCTGTAAGAGAGACTTCAGTGTCAAGTATAGCGAGAATGATGGATTTGAGCCGGCGGGCTCCTCTCAGTTGTGATGGATGTGGCAAGGGGTCATTCAATAGTTTTTGGCAGAAGATGTAGTAGTCGTCACTCATTCCTAGGAAGGTGAATCTACAAGGGGATCCTCGAAACCGCCAGCTGACGATTCCCATGAAGTTCTCTGTTTCCAGGGGGGTTTCTCCCAATCTCCAAAAGTCCTATCTACTTGTCGCAGCGTTAAGAGCAGTCGTGCATCCTACAGCAAGTCTCGTCCAGCCGGAAGTGGTCATGATGTTGCTTCTTTCCGGTCTGACTGATGTTTGATATTACAATGAGAACATACCCACACTTTAGCAATTAAACGGTTCGCCATCTACACAATCTCAAGCTTCATACCGAGCACTAGTTGTCACACCAGTGAAGGCGCCTCTGAGATTTTCACGAGGAGGCCGTAGATGCTCAGCATCTTGCAACGAGTCTTGGTCGTGCCAGACACGAATGCCGGCGCGAAACCTCGGCACTTGTCAGCTATCAGCTACATCGAGTACCGGAAATGCGATGATCTCGGACCCGGCACCAGACCAGCACCAAGCCGTTGGGTTCTGACAAGCTGAGATCTGCTAGAGGCCACGGGTACGCGTTATCGGGTCACACGTGGAACCAGTGGAAGAACTGTCGAAGCGGATTCCATCGGCGCGAGCCACTGGCAACGTTGCAGCATGTCAGCAGTTGGCGAGGTTTAGTAAAAAGCGCGCGCCGGACCCACGCGCCAACCCGTCTGATGACGCACATGCATGATGCACGGCGCCGTGAAGGGTCCCTTCACTTTGCCAACTCTCAACTCGCTGCACGTCGGTCCGAGTGGAAGAGCTTGCCATGAGCAGCCGTTAGCCACGTCCAACGGCAGTGGCTAAACAGATTTGAAGAAGGTGGCCGTGGCAGAATCATTTCGCCGAATGCGTGGAAGGACAAAGCTCTTTTCCTCGGGAAATCTCTAGTCTGATGTCTTCAGGTAAATACTTGCACCGCACTAGTGAAACACAAACTCAGGAAAGCAAGGTAATCTCGCCAATCGTCGGTTGATCTGCAAATCATAAGGTTATCGAATTCAAGGAAAGACCCTGATCTTCGGCCCGCCATCGAGGACAATGGAAGTCTCATAGATGGCCGTCGAGCCGTCGTTCCCCTCCCCCGCAGAAGGTTCCCAGATGCTTTCCTCATGTAAGCGAGAGTCCAAAGCACATGATTGGCGGCGTGGGAAATTCCTTCCCAAACTGGCAGCCAGCAGACGGGCCCACCCCGGTCTGAGCGCCCGGGTCCGTTCGTCGGTCGTCTCGGTGGGAAAGTGGGGTTTCTTTGGGTGGTCTCGATCCGGGAAGGAGGACTGCCAGTGGTTGTCGACTGGTTCTTGCCTTGTGACAAAAGCGATCTTAGCTCCTGCTCTGCGCAGGCTGCACGTCATCCGCCACTTTCCTCCGAACCGCTAAACTGGCGGGTTATTGGTTCTGTAGTTCTTGCCTGATTGTTGTTGGGCAGGCAAGAGATACAGAAAGGCAGGAGGCGGGGTGACGGAGGACCTTCCTTCTCCCGCCGGCATCAAAGCTAGCGTTGCTGGCTGGAACTTGGGGCGGCTGACTGGCGACTTCCGTGTTCAGGTGAAGAACATGTGGTCTGCCTGGCTGGCAGGAGCCATGAGAAAGGAGCCTGACGGGAGTGCTCTGGCTCCTGCCTGCCATCTCGCCCGGTTCCTTCCATTTTATCAGTGATGTTCGAGGTCGCCATTAGATAATCGGGGCCATTACTTAAACCACCAAATACTTGCCACCGACGGCTTTTTGACTTCTCTCATCTCCATCACCACTTCACTGCACAATCAAACAAGCTACGACTTCAGTCCACGTTCAAGAAAACAAAACCACTTTCAAGTCACTTCAACCGACTCCACCAACCATCAACATGTCTGGCTGCGGATGCGCTTCTACCGGCTCCTGCCACTGCGGCAAGGACTGCACTTGCGCCGGTTGCCCCGTAAGTTCCTCCCCGACATCGATCGCACCATCCGCCACCGGGATGATGTTACTGACACTCTTGTTACAGAACAAATAAGCAACGTCAAGGTGTACTCATCACCATGGGTCATCGGTGGATCTACGGGGTGTCTGGACGGATTGATCATATGGGTTTCGAACGGTCGCATGCACGCAGATGCGATTGGACTTACTCCTTCACTCCCTCATTTCAGCCCTATTGTCAATAGTCGTTAGGCGGAGAGTCGCAATGCAAGCTTGATATCGCCATAATTCTTCTTCGTGTCCTTCGTATGCGGCGAACTTTTGTTGAGTGGAGATGTATGACCTCGATCCAATCCATGCCACCCTGTCGTCGATCTGTACGACACCAGATCGATCATCAATCATTTCGAACCCATCTATGCTCTTCTTCCGAGTTATCTTTGTACGACGCAGTATCACGCCCTTCATTTGACGCATGGACCTCCAGCATGAGCGGCGACTTAAACCTTGCCGTTCTTCCATCTTTTTGTCCCTTCTCGTACAACAAACAGCCCAACGAGCCTAGGATCCTCGCGACATAGAACGCCGCTGCAAGAATGGACCAACAATATTCCCATTTTGCGATCCTACACCAGCCTCGATTCTGCGGCCACGCCTCGTCACAGCTGCGTACGAGATACCACGGTCTCTCGCTGAGGTGTCGAGGATCCGTCAGATCGGGTCCGATTTGCGCCGCGGCACTGCAGGCCCAGAGAACGGCGAGGAAGGCGTCGTATACGAGGTTCGTCCACCGGGCTTCGTATCGTAGGGCAGCCATTGTCAGGCGAGCGAAGAATACCGTCGCTCCTAGGACCGCGGTGGCCATATTGGAGGTTGTCAACCTGAACGAGGCGATCTATCAGCGGCCTAGCCTCAGAGCTGTGATGGAAGCACACGAGATCTCACCTTTGGCTCCAAATCAAGGGTATCTCTGGCGGTTCTTCATGGTTGGCATAGAAGTATATCCGCATTCTCGGGTTCGAACACCACCCTTCCTCGCCGCCGTTCCTCCAAAGCCGCAAGCGGAAGCGATCTGGGTACGCCACGCCAAAGAGCACGAGGGCAACGAAGACGACGAACGCCTCGAGGCACAACAGCACGGCGATCAGGTCTGAGCGATAGATGGATCTTGCTGGTCTCTGGCCCATGGTGGATGAAACGTCAACGTTGAACGTATCGTATGCAAGAAGGTATCGGCTTTTCGGACAGCACACCCGAATACTTGGATGCAGATGCCATCATGATGTCCTCCAGCGCCATGACTGTAACGGATCAGGCTCTCTTATTCGACAAAGAATTCCTGTTTCGCTGATGACGAGGACAGCGACAAGGGAAGTGAATGCCTCAAACTTGCTCGGTATTTGGGGGCGGGGAGGTGGTTCGTCTCTTACGTTCCTGGACGGCGACCTCGATGCTGGGGTGACTTGACTTTTAGGCGTGGGGAAACTGACTGACTTGGTGAGGTGGTGAGGGGTTCTGGAAACTTGCTCATTCTTGCGCAGCTAGGCTCACTACGCCGACCATCACATGCTGCGCTTGCTGCCGCATGACAGCACGACAACCAGCCCGTTGCTCTGCTCTAAAAGTCACTTGTAAGGGAGAGCATATTTGCCTTTCGCTGGTCCTGCTCGCCATGTTAAGGTTTGTGGACTGGCGAGTGCATGTCCACAGTCGTACGGTTCGGCCCGCATCACCTCATCTCGGGCACCTGAGGAGCCGCCGGTTCCACATCGGCCCTGGAACTTAACATCCCAGACGTCGAGCCTTCTAGACGGCGGCCAAGATTGTCTTGCGCGATAGTCAGTCGGGTGACATGGGCTCCCCGATCGCTGACCTAGGAAGAGACCTCTTTGAGGCTTGGCCACGTATCACTAGACCTGAATTGCACTGGGTGTGATGCGCTTGATTCTCATGGGATTTCTAGCTCTACTCCCTGAGCCTTGGCTAAAAGATGCAATCGATGTAATGTGGCTATGGTCTCGATGCGTAAAGATGCAACCTGCCAGCCCCTCTCCAGATTTTCCTTCTTCATCTCAGCGTATCCCGAGGTGCCGATGTAACTTCTCCCTCCGATGTGCTAGCAGTTACTTGTCGCCTTAACAACGCTTTCTTGTCTTTTGTTTTTCTCGGTGATCAGTCTTTGCCTAAAGGAGCCTGCCAGATGTTAGTCACCTGTGGTCACAAAAGTCCGCCCATGGGAGAGGAAATGAGGCTCAAGACTTGCCATGTCATCCTCCAGCCACACTCCCATAAGCCCCCCAATTATTTGAGAATATCCCAACGTACCAGATCCAAGCGAGAAAGCACCCGATTCAATATCACAAGCGTCCAAGCCCTCTCATTGGTACCAACAAGCAGTGACAGCCCCAACCTCCTCCCTCTGCTTCCTCAAAAGCGTATCCCTCTCACATCTAGTAGCTTCAGCATCTTCCTCCTCGAGAAACCCCATCGCAACGCCCAACTAAGACGCCACAACGGGTCTCGGCAGTCCCATGCCACCCAAAAACAGCGCGGCAGGAACCTCGGCGTACGCAAACGAGAGCAGCTCCGCCGTGAAGCGCGAGATGTCGAATTGGTTGAAAGTATGGTCTCGTGCGCCCTTAATTTTGAGGAGGTGTCGGCGGGCGCGGTAGTACGCCATGGTAGCCCAGACGTAGCTTCGCTCCGCGACGCGGGCCGACTCTGCAGTCATCCAATCGAGGTAGCGCGTCAGGTGCGGTATGAAGGCAGGAGGGACCGTGAGAACGCGGATGAGGCCTACGAGCTGGGCGTGGGAGCGGACGCGGGTGATTGTGAGGCGGTCGCGGGTGTAGGTTGTGGGACAGGTTTCGAGGGGCCGGAGGCGGTAGAGAATGCCACTTTCCTCATTGGTGCCGGCGCGTTCGGTGACTGGATGGTTGCGGCTCGGCAGGGATAGCTCATCGGTGGCTGAGTCGGAGGTGTGCCAGTAGAGATCCCAGTGGAATTCTTCGGTAGAGAGGCCCTGAGAGACCATGAGCTCGTAGGTGCAGAAGGGGAAGTCCGGGTCGTCGGGGAGAGCGGTCGCGTAGATGTGCTTTTTCTTACCAAAGTAGATGGAGAATGGGATTGAGATCATGATGTAGAGGGATCCGACTTCGAGTTTGTTCATGATTATGGGTGGGTGGGTTGAGGGCGAGTAGGGCGCTGCTGGAGATTCCATCTGGGTTGAAGCTGGAATTTCTCAAGTGAGAAATTGTGGAGGTAAGGGTGAGGTAGAAGGTGTTGCAGGTGGAGGTGAAGGTGAAGGTAGAAATGAAAATGAAGATGAGAGGAAAGACGAGAGTGAAGGATGGCATGAGACGAGGCTCGGTGCATTCGACGAATAATCTCAGCTGAGGAAAGTACAAAGAACTATTCCGAAGGCTGACGGGGCCGAAATGACAAATAAATCCAAGGCCCCGATAAGAGTATCTCTTGTAATTGCTTTCGACGTTCCTTCCGACAGCTTTTTCTTCATCACTTGCCAGCCTTCGTCAGCCTCAAACAGCCTGACATCTTCATTCTCATGAACTTTTCGGCTAACGAGCACGAATCATTTTGCCTGGATTGGGAGAATTCGTCTCGCAATCAACGACTCTGACCCATTACCGAACAACAGAAATTCGGCAACAATCAAATCTACTGATTCAATTCGTAGGCCAACAGTGCCTCCCATCTATCAAATGCTAGTGATGACAGCCCTCCCAAACATATCCCCATTCATCAATTGACCTACGATCTCCTCCGTCTGCTGAAGATGGAAGTATTCAACGGATGCCCGAATGCGACCTTTGACAGCCTCGCGTAACAGCTCGGACATTTCATCCTCGGTACCGACCATGGCGCCTTTGACATTCAGAGCTGGGGTATTTTAGATTTGGCAAACACAGGAGCGTAAGAAAAACTCGCCTTTGAGAGCGCATAAAGTTACTGGTATCGGAAGATCAAAATCGTTCCGAGGCAAACCGACGCACACAATCGTTCCCATGGATCTGACTAACTTGGGCGCGGTGATGTAAGCGTCTTCAGACTCGGGCACGACGAGGACAGCATGGGCCCCCTCTCCCGTCAGCTCCATGACCTTCTTCTCTACATCCTCCTTCGTATAGTCGATGAAACTTTCGGCTCCGTTGTCTCGACAGAACTGATCGTGGCCACTAGAGTCGACCGCGATCACTCGGTAGCCCCTTAGTCGCGAGGCTATCTGCACGCCCAAATGCCCCAGACCGCCCGCCGCTCCTTGGATGACGACCCAATCGCCAGGGGAAAGGTCGCCTTCTAATTTCGATACCGCGCCCATCATGGTCAAACCGGCACATAACAAGGGTGCGACTTCAGCATCGGGCAAACCGTCCGGGATCCTCGTGACATATCTTGAATCAGCCACGACATATTGCTGAAGCGTTCCGGGGCGATGTTTTCCGGTGTTGAGCTGCTTCGGGCAATTATTCTGATGTCCGCGGATGCAGACCGAGCAGGTTCCACAAGCACTGTAGAGCCACTTCACCCCGACCTTTTGACCAAGAAGCTCTTCAGGAACACCGGGGCCCAACTTGACGATTCTGCCAATGCCCTCGTGGCCGACGATGGGGTCGTAAACGCCCCAGCCCCGGAACGCTCGAGTCTCCGATCCGCTTTTGCAGAGTTTCAGTTAGCCATGGACAATCAGGTACGCAGAAAAGGCTTGAGAAGATGTACCAAACACCAGTGGCACTGATGCGGACGAGGACTTCATGAGGTCCGGGAGTCCCGACTGGCACGTTGTGCTGGACGACGATGCTGGCATTTGGCCCGGGGTTTTGAATGACAGCGGCCTTCTGCACTGAAGGCAGCTCGTCTCCGTCTTCTTCCATGCTGAGAGGATGCAATAATCAACATGTGAATAATCGCGGAAAATGATTTGAGGCTGAACAAAGGAGACAAAGTTGTGAGATTGTGGTTGCTGACGGAGCAGCCCAGCACGGTGGAGCGTACCCCGCGCCGGATCCTGCGGCCGGCATTGCAACAGCCGTCGATGTGGAAACCTTCGGAGCAGAGCCGATGCGCTGCATGATCCGATGTTTCCTTCTTCTCCCTTTGCAAGTACGTCAAATTCTGTTGGAAGACTTACTTCAGAATATCAAATTCAATGCGATGTTGATCTGTGATTTGTATGTCTTGCTGGGCTTCGCATCAAACGAGGCATCTTCAGAGTACCTAGTCCAAAATGCTCCGGACACCCACAGTCAGGAAACAAGTCTAGTCTTCCTTGTGCAAACACCTTGGACCAGGATCGAAGACAGTTTGGAACGTGATAGAATTTACGAAACCATGGGATCTAAATCAAGGTAAGATAGGTCGTTGACGTCGGCCAATTATGTTGGGTATGTCGTCTGGGTAAGGTGCGGCTTTCTTGCTTTTTTTCCCGTCCAACATCCGCCTCAAGTCGTTTTTTTTTTCGAAGTCTGAGATGCAGCATTCGGTCTTTTATGCATAGTCTAAAGTCAATAACACCCATGTCAATCAAGTACTCCTGATTTCGCCGTGTCTGCACGACTACAGCTCCTGTGCGATCCAATCTTTCCGATCGAGGATGATAGTAGTAGAGAGAGCAACAGTGCAGCCGTCGGCGACAATATAGAGTCTACACGGACCCACTGGAAGATGAGTTGCTCTTGTAGAGGAGATGAATGATTTCTGGATCAAAAAGAGTTGCATTTCAGCCTGTGACAAGGGCTTGGAAGGAATCATGGTGACAGCAGCACGGCAGAAAGCATGCCAGCGGCCAGCCTCCGATGCTAAGGTAGTTGAGAATAACGCATAAACACTGAGAGACTTCGTTTCAGACTTCCTATGAAATCCCACTGACCTCCAGGAACATGGACCCAGAATGCGTCTTTCTGGCGATTTTGACCAACACACTCACTCGAATTGTAGAGATTCCCAGACCATGCTGTGCCATAGACCCGACTTCTCCGACCTCCTCGGACTTCGTGAAGGCGGTAAACGTCGACTGCTCTCATTTCTTTAAGCTTTTCCTTTTCCTCAACCCGGTGGGATATAGATTGCAGATTGAGTCAGAATCTCTTTTTCTCGCAAAATCTCGGAGGCAAAGGAAGACAAGCTGGAATATATAAGAGCCGCAAGGTTACAGCTCCGACTGATGTAGCATTCGATTCCCATACACAAGCATATTCCAACCATTCGAACCTTGTCTCAATAGCCAAGCCTTCTTCTGATTAACCATAGTCATCAGTACGCCTTCATCATGCTTTCCCAACATATCTTTGTCATCATCGCGTAGGTAGTTCCGACTCCGATGTCTGCCAATGTGGATACACGCTTACCTTTCCGATTCCAGCGCATGCGCCACCGGCTCATTCGCATCTATCGCGACCTGCAAAGGAAGCTTCTACGCCGGTGTTTGCCAGGACACTTTTGCACCTGGAGCTCGTCACGACGCCCTCACGCAGAGCTGTTGCCAATCTCCCCATGGCACGACTTACCATGATGGCCCCGGAACATTTGTCAGTCCTCTGCTAGTGTTGTTCTATCAGAAGGAAGACAGCTGACCGGCAATTTAGTGCTGCACCACTGCCGACACTAATGCCATTGCTTACTTGTCGTCATGCTGCTCCAACGGCGGGAAGAGACAGATCAACTTCAACCCCGCTTGAGGGGAGTTTCTGGTGTCACAGGCTTTCTCTACTGTATTTGAATGAGACCGGACCTGGATATGGGGAAAGAGACAAGTGGTCGTCCAAACAGCCTATTGAGTACGTATGTTCCCCAACCTTGTCTTTCAGCAATGTCGTAAATCCAATTTGGATAAATAATTGACATGGCCTAGAGCAAGCTTGATGGTGCATTGGGCCGCAGGAGGCTGAATATTTCTTGGCCCTGCTTACTTGACCTTTCTATCTCTTTTCTTTTCTCCGTCGAAAGGGTCTTTAGGCCCCCAAGAATCAGTTAAAAGCTAAATTTATACCTATCTCAAAGCATTCATATACGCACATTCATTTGAATCTTTGTTATTGCCTGGATAGCAAGCCATCCTTGTTTGTCTGTCATTGCTCGTCTCAAATGCTTCCCGAATTGGGGTGATATTGTCGTATTGGAAGTCCAATTCGACCGCGGATAAGGGCAAGAGCATGGGCCACCTCGAGGTGTGTTACGACCCAACATGTATGACCAAGTTCAGGCCTGCCCCGCAGGTCACGGCGGCTACAGCGCACCATATATATAGGTGAAACAGGAACACTAGTAACCCTCTACGGAACGGAAGAACTATGGTATAAGTTACGTAATAATAAGATAAGGATTATTTGGGATTAATATAATTTAATACGACTTGGGGGCTAAACAATCATTGTAGATTAGAATGATCTAGGGCGATCTAAGGAATAAAGAATATATTTAGAATTAAGACTTATATACAAGATAGACTCGAGCCGGGCTCTAGGACAGACTTCCTATAGCTTCTTTAGTAATTAACTTCGTATTAGATTTTATGATTACTTTTAACTATCTTCCCTAAGAACCTCTTGTTACGACCCAACATGAAGACCAGGGCGTGCCCCGCTGACGCCTAGCGGCTACGGCGCATCATATATGCAGGACGGGACGGAACATTGGGGAAACCCCAGGAACGGAAGAACTATGGTACAAGTCACGTGATGATAAGAGATATGATAAGGGATAAGGATATGTTGGATATGCGACATATCCAACCGAGTCAAGGATATGTTGGATATTCGACATATCCAACCGAGTCAAGGATATGTTGGATATTCGGCATATCCAACATATCCAGACAAAGTGGACTGTTCAGCACTGTTCAGTTAGGATCGGACTTGAATATAAGGATGGACTCGAGCTGGGCTCTAGGACAGACTTTCCATAGCTTCTTCAGCAATTAACTTCGTATCAGGATTAACATCCGCTTTCAGCTACTACCTTGACAAGACTACGATTGATCACCGAAGCCTTACCTACCCTTACGATTGACAGACATAGCTTCCCTGAAGCTATCCCCGACTACGATTACTGTTACCAGTTCCGCAGCCTCAACTTCTGCAAACTACCCCTACGACTAGCTGGCCGTAACATAAAAGGCATTCAAACACGAAAATGACGCAGCCTAGCAATCGTGAATGGGTTATAGTTATTCAATCCATTAGTTCGTTAGGCTATAGCGTTCCGCCGTATATTATCGTCGTAGGCCAATATCACCTCTCCACCTGGTATATAGAAACAGGTCTCCTACGCGACTGGGTCATTGTAACGTTTAAAAACGGATGGACAACAAATGAAAGAGGCCTAGACTGGCTCCAGTACTTTAATCGGCATACAAACCCGCGTATAATTAGTAAATATCGCCTCCTCGTCGTTGATAGGTCTGAAAGTCACCACTCTACGGACTTTAAGATATATTACAAAGAAAACAATACCGTCACACTCTGCATGCCGGCCCATTCGTCTCATCTACTTCAGCCCTTAGACTTTGGGTGTTTTGGGCCACTAAAGACGGCTTATAGTCGACAAATTAAGGATAAGATACGCTAGGGTAATACCCATATTACGAAGGAGGACTTCTTCTCTGCATTTCACAACGCTTTCACGCAAGCTCTAACGGTAAAAAACATCCAGGGAGGCTTCAGAGGGGCCGGGCTTGTTCCTTTAAATGCCGAAAGTGTGCTTTCGAAGCTTGATATCAAGTTATACACTCTAACACCCCCAGGGTCCCTACTAATAACACCCCCCGCGTAGACTTCTCAGACGCCAAATAACCCAACAGAGGCCTCTTCTCAGTCCGAACTCATCAAAAGGAGGATCTCCCGCCATCAAAATAGCTCCCCAACTTCAATTATTAAAGCTATAGAGCATTTATCAAAGGGAGCGCGGGGATTTATACACCAGATTGCCTTATTAAGGTCGGAGGTCCAGATCCTCCGGGAGGAAAATAACCTACTTAGCCGACGTAGGAGGGCTAAGAAAACACGTCTCAGACAAGGAGGAAGTCTTACTATAGCTAAGGCAGAGGACATTCAGTCGCAGAGAGAGGCTACGGCCCAGATTGAGGAGGAAACGCGCCAGAGTAGTGGTCGTCGGCCGAGGACAGAAACAGATCAACGGCGATATAGCGTCTACAGAAATACTGGCTACAATACGCGAACATATCAGTTTAATGAAGAAACATCTAAGGAATAGGATTCAGAGTAGTTTCAATTGATTTTATGTTTTTAGTGTTGCTCCTTAGATAGATTTATAATGTGATCATGGTTAGGTGGGCAGCTCGCTTGTCTGGGCAGCTCGCTTATCAAGTACGTTAGTTACTTGACTTTAATAAGCAATTTAACTAACTGACGAGTAAAAAGGCAATCAATCAAATCAATCAACTGCTCGTGGGCAGTTTGGCAATCAATCAACTGGAAGGCCAGATTTGCGTTGATTGCGTTGAGTGAAGCGCTGGTCTTGAATCCGCTTGTTGATACAGCCCACACCAGGATTGACGACAAGGCACGGTCCCATCCAAATTTTACGAGAGGCAAAACGATTTCTCCAACTGATTGAGAGTATTACCCTACCGAATAAGAACGTCCTACCCGTATGACCACCATCAGTACAGGTCGAACTGGAGGCTCGTGTCTTCGTCAATCAAGGCGATCTCAAAACTCGCTGGAAGTGCGGGTCAGTTGACGAAAGCATGAGTGAACCACTACCAGAGTCATGGGTTTCGTTGGCGCATCTTTGTTTGAACTGATTTTGCAAAGTAGTACCAAGTCAACTATCATCGTTCCCTTCGATCGAGTTGACGTCGGTCAGTGTCTAGTAATTCATGGCTTAGTGATCACGGTATAGCTAGACAGGAAATTAAAAGTACCCAGCGCTGCCTATACAGCATCACATGCATAATCATCAATCCTGGTTCGGCCTAGATTATACCTGATACAATTGACCCTCGGACACTGAAATAAACTAAGTCGAGAGGTCGAGACCAAATGACAATCCGCATCAACAGGGTGCGTATAACAGAGACATTAGACCTCAGACAAGTCTTAATCAACGAAGACCAAAGAAGTAAATGCAGTTGATATCGGAATGAGACCTGACATGCGTTCTAATCTTCTCCAACATTGTTCAAATGGTTAGCTGCGAGATGGGGGCTCTTGGTTCCCTTGATGAAAGGTCTGAGCACCTAAGTTGCGCCTCGTCTAAGCCTCTAAGAGGTGCATTGATACATAGTCATAGACCAGTGTATCCATAATCTGAATTAGTCAGAGAGAGTGAGCTTGATATCGTCGACACCGATGGCCTATTCAAGCGCACCGCTCGCCTCACTAATCCTGCGCTGAGATTGCATCAACTACCTACAGTCTGCAACGGTCGAAAGGGAAGAGCCAGATGACCTAAAATTAGAGGGAAAACCATGCGTGGGTAAGAACAAGGGCTGGAAAATCGGCTTGTGATCGGAGCCTTGGGGGCCCCGCGAGAGATTTTCCTGGCCTCAGTGAGCTACCTCGCATATGTGTTGGTCTTTTGGGACCCTTTGTACTTGTATACAGCCTATGGTTGGTGCTGTTACATTCCAATTAGGGGGATGAACTCACTCGACTGTCTTTGCGCGACCTTTCTTGTTGCAGGAGAATTGAGCCGATTGTAAGGCTGATGTGATCGACTGGATTCCAGGTGATGTTCGCCGTGTCGACCTTGCTCTATTGGGACCCCGGATACTGGAGACACACTCACGTTAACACGTACCCTACGGATGCGGGTTTTGTTGACGATTACGAATCCAAGACCTGTTCTGGTTTGCATGTCGTCACCTCTGGAACTCCGGCTCGCGGAGCCGAACAACGGCTGTCCCGGCGATCTTATCTCGCAACGTCGTTTGTGCGCGCGATGTTCTTCAAATGGCCATCCCGTCGGCCACAGCCGCTTCGCCGTGCCTTCGGCGACGGGCGAGAGAACATCAAAAAGCCATCCGCGCGCGCCAAATGCCATCATGATATACGTTGCGCCAACCCCTTTAATTCAATGTCATTCAGGGCAGTGCTTCTGCATATCCCGAACGTAGATCTGCCGAGCTTCTAAACTCCCCGGTGGTTTCCCGGCGGGATACGACGCTCACCGTTCACGGAGTGTGGGCGATCGGGCTCCGAAATGACCCTGCAGATGTCATTTGCTTGGCCGACTTAGCGCCGCGATAGTGCCAAGGGCCGCATAATCCCCTGTCCGTCCGCAGCCCTGCCCAACGGGAACACGAATTCGCAGGCGACGTCGGATTTGGTTGGAAGACTGGGCGCGCGGATCCGGATGCAGGTACCAGCGCAAAGACTCGGTCTCTAGTCTGTGATTGTGATGTAAATGGGATCCAGTGAGCTTAAAGCATGTTTCGTCTGAAAGACACAACCTGAGAGGACCGCAGCAATCACAGTTCTGAATTTGAATGTTTAGGTTGGCACGGGTTGCCACAGTGGTTGTTATTCTCCGCGGGACATCAAGGATGATGTTTGGATCAAGGGGCCTCCAGTTCAAAGGTTGTGCTGTCACCAGCATCATGATTGGGGAAAGTCTATGGGTTATTCAGCAAAACACCCTCGTCTCCAGTCTCAGCCCCCTTAAAACGCACGGGTTGGAAGTGTACTGTGTGGGAAAGTTTCGACTTCAGCCACTGAGGTTTGAGACTCTACCGTTGGTCATCCCGTCTCACCATTTTAGCCCACCATCGAACAGAGAACGGAGAACCCAGGCCGGGACGTCCCATTGGTGCTTTAGCCCATCTTGACAAGCCGCACGGCTTTTAATAGCATGAACGGCCTCCCGGCACGGCACATCGGATGGTGGGCGCTGCCCGAGCGACCAATGGTACAGCCACCCATGCACACGCGTCCCCCTCAATAGATTTCACCCACTAATGAACCCCACCAAGGCAACTCCACTGCCGGGAGGCCGAGTGGCAGGTGTTTGCCGTTGCCAGAAGCTCAAACGTACGTCAGCCTCCTTGGAGATGGGGTGGAAGTGAGGTGGTTGGCTCCAGCTTGTCCAGCTGGAACTCGCGTGATGGGTTCTCCTAGTAAAGCTCAAACACCAGGTATCCATGTATCCTGTTGATTCTGCCCTTCTTTAATGGAGACGCTGACCCGCCATCGAAATAAGGGGGCGGGTTTGGTTTCCATGGTTCTTCACTGAAAGCCTCAGCCATTTCTCTCGTTCTATCTCTTCTCTTTTAAATCTTCTTTTCCTTCCAATATACTATCGTTGAATTGAATTTTAGAGGGTTCTTCCTTCGCCGTAAAATTACTCACAATGGCGTTGTCTTTCGTTCGTCAAGCGTCGCTCGTTGCGCTTCTCGCTTCTACAACTTTCGCTCAAACTTTTACCGATTGCGACCCTACTAAGAGTATGTTTAACTTTGGATCCGCGATCATTTGAGGATATTCCCGACACGTCCTCCACATCACGACACTCTAGGCTGTGGTGGATGAATTGTTTTGCTGACGCGAGGTGATTTAGAGACCTGCCCCGCCAACAAAGGTCTGTCAAAGAGCACCTACGAGGTCGACTTCACCAAGGGCGCTGACAACGATGCCTGGACTGTCACCGCCGGCAACATCACCTACGGCACCGATGGCGCCGAGTTCACCCTGAACAAGAAGGGCGATGCCCCCACCATTGAGACATCGTGGTACTTCTTCTTCGGCCGCGCCGAGGTTCTCATGAAGGCCGCCCCCGGAACCGGTATCGTCAGCAGTGTTGTTATCGAGTCCGACGACTTGGACGAGGTCGACTGGGAGTGGCTCGGTGGCAAGGATGCCGAGGTTCAGACCAACTACTTTGGTAAGGGCAACACCACCAGCTACGACCGCGGCGCGTTCCACACCATCGCTGCGACTCAGACCGAGTACCACAACTACACCATCGACTGGACCAAGGAGGCTGTCACCTGGTACATCAACAGCAACCTTGTCCGCACTCTCAACTACGCCGATGCCCTAGGCGGCAAGAACTTCCCCCAGACCCCGGCCCGCCTGAGACTCGGCATCTGGGCCGGTGGCGACCCGGACAACAACGCCGGCACTATCACCTGGGCCGGCGGTGAGACCGACTACACCAAGGCCCCCTTCACCATGACCGTCCAAAAGGTTTCCATCACCAACGCGAACCCCGGTGGCTCCTACACATACGGCGACATGACCGGTGACTACTCCAGCGTCAAGATTGGTGCCGCCACCGATGACAGCACCAACGCCGGTCAGAACGACACATCTTCAGGTAACACAAGCTCCGAATCCGCCTCCGGGAGCTCCGACGCGACAGCGACGCCTTCCTCTGGTTTCCCCGTGTCCTCGGGCGCCCCGCTGAGAAACTCCACCACGACAGGAACCACGATCCGTCCGACGGTTGCTCCCACGGCCACCCAGTCCGGCTCTTCTGCCAGCGCTACTGCTTCCACTGGCGCCAACGCTGCCTCTGGAAAGCTGTTGACCAGCGCGACTGTTGGCACTGGTTTGTTTGGATTTGCTCTCGTCGCGATGGCTGGCCTGTTTTAGAAGAGATATCCCCCCATTTGTTACAGTAGTGGGTATGTAGTTCTTCCCACATCAGTTAGATAATACAGGACCAAAAGAGTCCTACTTTTTGAACATCAGTAATGTGTTCAGCCCTCAGGAGGGCTCGTGGATTTATTTGATTTCAATAAATGTTTCCATCTCAAGGGCGGGGGCAATTGGCGTGCTCCTGGCCTGGACATTTGCATCAGACACGAATTCCAGCGATTCGACTCGCTCGCGAGGATCAACCCAGTTTGGGGTCCAGTTTGGGATTCGTTTTTATTTGTGAAGATAAATCTTCAACGGCGGACGCCTGGACGCGCAAATGGCTCATTTGAGAAGGCTGTTCCGCAAAGTTCCACGAAAATAATCGTTGAGGTCTCAATACTCCTTCCTTTTTTGTTTTGATTGTTTTTCCTGTTCGGCGTGCAATATTGTTTCCTTTCTTGTTGAGAACGACGTTGGGTATGAAAGATGGTGGCGGCGCTTTAGCTCTCGAATGAATTTCGCGGTTCACTGGGCTCGGGGACTTGCATGCATTGCGGGGAGTTGCATCGAGGATTCGACCATTAACCGGTTCGTTCAGCTACCGAAAGGTCATCTTGATACTGACCGCTCTGGCTGCCGAAGTCCGATAAGGGGCCCAAACATGAGGGGGCCGTGTCAGGTCCTAGTATTACACCCTTGCTGTCCCAGACTTCAGGTTCGTCTGATCAGATTCAATGACTCAACAACCTCCTGACTGAGACGTCATTATGTGAGGAGGCGGGCGCAACTGGATTACCCACCTGGACTTAGCAAGTTGCAAAGATCAAATGAATTGAGATGATGCAGCTAACTATGTCAACTGCTCAGAGAAGATAGTAGCGGAATTCAAGCAAGAGGATTTGGCTGTCTGGAGCGAACCTTGACAGTTCAGAATTACCCACTTGAGGCTTCGTCTACCCCGATCTCAAATCGGGGATCCCCGAGACTTCAAGGGCCTTACTCGCAAAGTGCTGCTGATTGACTTCCACTTCACAGGGTCACAGTGATACCGGGTCATCTGCCTCGGAGGCTATGTGAGAGCATAGATCTCTGAAGTCGACTCAGGGCTCCTACGCTTATGCTTATTACTGTACTCTAGATCTGAAGTCTAGCAAGCTCCAGCTAGTGAAAGTTGTTATTGCAACAACACATGCATTGATCTTGAGGTATCTTCTGTGTCGAGTTCATATGCCTGTTCAGGCTGGCTGGGCAGAAAACCATCCAAAGCCAGCGGACTGAGTACTCGATATCGGAATCGCTACCTTTTCCTCAACACTAATACGTATTATTGCTCCAAATGCTGATGTTCCGTCCGTGCCGTATAATCGATTCGTGTGTCTTGGCCCAAAACTGCTTACATCGACTTCAAATGAACGATGCAGCTACATCGACCTAACAGCACGTGAATACTGAGCGCCGTATTTCTCGTCGAATTTACTTCAGTCTGGAAGGTATTATCTTCCAATGATGTTAGGTCCTGGGTCACTGTGCCTTCTCGCTCCTCTAAGCGAGGATCATCCATCGAAGGCATTATCTGCCTCATAATTCGCATCTTCATGAGGACGGACTGAGGCATTTCCACTAATCGTTGACCGCGGAATGCGCATTGTAGAAGTACTGACAATATTGGGGAATCTCTTTCGATGGCTAGGATGCCCGGTGGCAACTTTGATCTGACTAGGTAGTATCTATGTGATTTCGATGCTCAACGGTGCTTCTGTAATGAGCTCGGCGGGGCAGCGAGCATGTTGAGGGCGACCATCTGTGCCATTGTGAGCAGCACGACTCGTTCTTCCCCCACTACTCTATCAGGATCGCAGAACTTTAACAAGGTAACCTAAACAAGCCGAAGCATGTGCGAGTCAACTTACCCATGATGATCTACAACTCCAGATCTTCATTCAGCACTAGAACAATTCTAGCTGTTCGTAACTAACACTGAATCTGGACCTCAGTCTATCAGAGTTCAGCGCTGAAGTCACTCAGTCCGAATCATGAAGAGCGCTCTTCATGTCGTCTCAAGATAGGCTCAGATGCGCTGCGACCACAAGCCGATGTACGTCTCATGATGTTATAAAATCTGGGCTGTTCCCATGTGCTTTAGTTGTGCTCTCATCATCAAAGCATCATTCTCACTTAGTCTCTCTTTCAATAACATCCAGTCTCCCCAAAGACTCATTTGTCTCCGCAACCAACACGTTCAAAATGCGCGCCACCACTTTCACCGCTGTTTTTGCCTCCCTTCTTACGGCTGTTGCCGCTGTTCCTCAGGGCTTCAGCTGCAAGGTAAGCACGGAACACTAGCTTCATAGCCACACCACTGGCTACAAGGCGAGATCCGTTAGTTCGGGTTCCTAACAAGTCATCAAAGTCCGAGGGCTTCTGCACCTACAGCGACCCCAACTGTAACTTCTGCCTCAACATCGACGCTGCTGCCAAGATCAAGGTCTGCCAGGCCATTGACCCCACCTGCAAGAGCGCCCCCGGCGACATCACCCGCGGCCCCTCGGGAGTAAGCGATCCCCATCTTGAGCAGAGTAGTATTGGTGTTATTGGAACTTGAGCTGACTCGACTTCTACCTTACAGGCCGACTTCCAGTGCGTGGTTACTTGCTGCCACTAAGCGAGGGATGTCATTTAGAGTTCACGATGCATCGTCTAGCTTATCTAGAGCGCATCTAGCTTAGATAAACTGCATACAAAGCCAAAGACGAATAAACGTTGATTTTATCGCCCTTTTCATGTCATCATCTCCTTTGAATCTGACATTACCAAGCGAGATTTCTCTTTGTCAGGGGTTTCAACACCATCTCGATTTGCTGAAAAATCAAGCTCCAGCAACGTAGATCGCGGCGCATTCTGTGAAGGCTGTCCGAGTAAGACGGCGCCTACGCTCCCCGAAGTAGGCAAGTGGCTGGGGTGTGTGACAGCACCCTAGCTTCAGTTGGTTGCGATGAACGCATGGAAAGGTTTTTTATCTGTCGAATGTCAATGGCCTGGACAGGTCGGAGACCGAGTGGCTAACGTTAATTGGTCTTAGACCCTTGACGTACTGACATAGTATGGAATGTCTTTGCACATGACATCGGACAACAGATGGCAACGAGGCCCGGGCTGACCAGATATGGCGCTTATTTAGTAGCAAAATCCACATTTCTCCCAATCAAAGTGTTGACTGGGCGGCGCTACGGAGGCACGTTTGCCGACAAGCTCATTAGACGCATGCCAGCAACCACGTCAATGTCGGCACGGCCCTTCTACCAACCTCCGATGGCCGGTTGCAGGATGGTAGGAGACCTCAGAGCTGTCGGCTCATAAAAAGCTAGCAGAACAGCAATCAAGACGATGGGGTGCAATTCTTTCAACTGTGTCTTCATTCCTGAGTCTTAAATCATATACAAGAGCTTAGAGATATATCGTATGAACCCTCTGGCTTGACTGGACTCTCTCATCATTACTTACAACCCCCGACTCTCAAACGCCTTTTACGCATTCTCGACATCGAACGAACTCTAAATCGACTTTCTGACCCCTGCTAAGAACCAAACTTAATTCTTCTGTAACCCAATCTGCCAAGCCATGTCAACTTCAACACCGGCCGCGAGTGGTCAACAGGTAAGCCACTTTGTATCACCGTCAAGTTGCCACCACTGACACTGCATAGACGCCGAAGGGACCTCCCTATGCACCAGTCACAGCTCTTCTGGGCTTGACGCCGACTGTAAAAGTTGACGTGCCAATCTGCGCCGTCTTGATGGTCTTCTTCCTCAGTGGATTTGCCCTAAATCTCACCATCTTCCGCCGGAACAAGGCCCGCGGGCACAAATTCCTGCCTTCAGTGCTCCTTGCCGGTTTCTGCATGACCCGTAACATGGCGCTGGTCCTACGCATCATCTGGTCTACTCGCCACGATAACGCCAGCTTAACGATCGCCGCCAATATTTTCGCGGCCGCCGGTGTCATCATCCTCTTTATCGTCAACCTCATTTTCGCCCAGCGTTTGGTCAGGTCGATACATCCCAACTTTGGATGGGGCCGCCTCCCCTCCATCGCCTTCAAGGCTCTGTACGCCTACGTCATCATTTGTCTCATCATGACCATTACGATCACCATCATTTCTTTTTACACTCGCAACCCATCGACGTTGAACACCGCGCGCATCATTCAGTTGTTCTCCGGAACTTCCCTCGCTGCGCTGGCCTTCTTGCCGATTCCGATTGTTATCGCGACTGTACTCATCCCTAGCAAGTCCCTCCCAGACCCCTTTGGCAAGGGTTCGCCCAGGACGAAGGTCATCCTCGTCCTCTTCACCGCCACCCTCTTATCCCTGGGTGCTGGCTTCCGCATCGGCGTGAGCTACACCACACCCCGTCTCGCTTCCAATCCCGCGTGGTACCACCACAAGGCCTGCTACTACGTCTTCAACTATGCCATTGAGTTGATCGTGGTGTTCACCTATGCACTCAGCCGCTTCGACCGCAGGTTCCATATTCCCAACGGGTCCAGCGCGCCAGGTCACTACTCTGCAGGTATCGAAGGCGAGAAGCGCTCGAGTAGCACCAGCAACATCAATGACTTGGATCCCGAACCATCCCCAAGTTACAAGGAAAGTTTCCGAATGGAGAACAGCCCATAGAAGAGAATAAGTCTTGAAGAGAGGAGGAAGAAGCCTTGATAGATTATAGTTTAGAGAGTAGGAAGTCGTACTCATAGCAGGCACACACACGACCTTGCATCTAATGTTGAATATGTACCATATTTCCACACTCTAAGCTGACTTCACCAGTGATGCTAGGCCGATCTGTTTCAAAGAGGCCTGAATATGAGAATTCATAAGCGAAGCCGACATCCGGATCATTTTGATACACGGCGACTGTGACAACGCCATCTCCATAGCCGTAGTTTGTGTAGCCAAGATCGTCGGGTCCAGTGACTCGATCGAACCGTCCTGGTGTCAAGTTGGGGTGTTGACGCAGGGTGGAAGCTCTCAGAGGCCAACTGCAGTTAGGGGTAGAATGATGAATTACTGAAATCTGCTCCTCCCTCGACGTGTACTCCCAGCGCTATATATATATCTAAGCTACTCCTTTGTTACTTAGACTCCTTATTACCTCTAACTAGCCCCTATCCGGGAGGGCTCTAATGGGGCGCCCCTTTTAACTAGGCTTCGTCCTCGAAGCTTAGTAATAATAAATATACTATATTATCTCCCTATAACTAATAATATTATTTTTTATTATGGCGGCGTCGATATGTTTATAGAGATACCGACCGTTTAGCTTCACAAGTAGATAGGGCTACTGATTTTTGTTTTATTGAATTTCAACTTATAGCATTGTAATATCCAAGCGTAAATATATATCCAGAAGTAGAATGTTACGAGCTGGACAAGGCAACCAACTGTGGCACAAAGCAAAAGCTTCGATAATGATGACTCCGGCATCATTTTCCCATGTTCTGCATTATATAGCTACGCGCCCACAGTGACAAGTTGCGGCGGGCGTAACACAACTGTGGCACAAAGCAAAAGCTTCGATAATGATGACTCCGGCATCATTGTCCCTTGTTCTGCATATATAGCTACGCGCCCACAGTGACAAGTTGCGGCGGGCGTAACAGTCCGCTAAGGAGGTATATTATAAAACTAGAGTAAAGAAGTCTAGAAAATTATCAGTAAGTAAGGATAACGTAACGAGGGAGCAATAAATTTGCTAATAAAGCTAGTTAATAATCTATAAATTAAGTGATTATAGATAGGAAGGGGAAGAGGAATTAAAAAGCCTGTATAATAATAACGTGAATGATAAGCGAGTGAGACAGACAAGCGAGTGAGACACAAAACTGCGCCGATGATGCTTCAACACAAATAGAGACGTTTCTTCCACAACACATCATGGCATCCAGAAGTAATGAGTCAGGCATACAGCTGGCCCTTCAAGCTATCAGAATCAATCCAGAGCTTAGTGCACGGGCTGCAGCTACGATCTACTCGGTCAGCCATGCAACATTGAGTCGACGATTGAAGGGCTCTACATCTCGAAGCGACAGGATACCGAACTCGAGGAATCTTACTTTGCTAGAAGAGCAGACGTTAGTTGATCACATTCTCGATCTAGATGCCCGATCATTCCCTCCCCGGATCCGTGGTGTGGAAGAAATGGCTGATCGACTGCTTGCTGATCGCGACGCGCCTCCGGTTGGGAAGCGCTGGGCCTTAAACTTCGTCAAACGACAACCACAATTGCGGACGCGGTTTTTTCGGAGGTACGACTACAAGAGGGCCCAATGCGAGGATGCAGAGGCTATTCGCGGCTGGTTCGCTCTTGTGAAGAACATAATCGCGAAGTATGGTATCGATGAGTTTGATATCTATAACTTTGATGAGACTGGCTTTATGATGGGCCAGATTGCATCTGGCATGGTTGTCACAAATACTGAAAGGCGTTCAAACACAAAAATGGCGCAGCCTGGTAATCGAGAATGAGTTACAGTGATTCAAGCCATCAACTCGCAAGGCTATAACGTCCCGCCGTACATCATCGTTGCAGGCCAATATCACCTCTCAACCTGGTATACAGAGTCAGGTTTCCCGGACGACTGGGTCATTGCGACGTCAGAAAACGGATGGACAACAAATGAAAGAGGCCTAGATTGGATCCAGCACTATGATCGTCATACGAAACCACGTTCGAGAGGCCAATATCGCCTCCTCGTCGTCGACGGGCACGAAAGTCACCACTCAACAGACTTTGAGCTATATTGCAAGGCAAACAAGATCGTTACACTTTGTATGCCGCCTCATTCGTCTCATCTACTCCAGCCCCTTGACGTTGGGTGCTTTGGTCCGCTAAAGACGGCGTATGGGCAACAAATTGAGGATAAGATGCGGCGGGGCGTAACCCACATCTCAAAGGAGGACTTCTTTCCTGCATATCGCAGCGCATTTAGTCAAGCGATGACTGAAAAAAACATCCAAGGGGGTTTTAGAGGAGCTGGGCTTGTTCCTCTGAGTGCAGAAAGCGTCCTATCAAAGCTGGATATCCGGCTACACACTCCAACGCCTCCAGCATCACTACCACAGACACCTCCGCCTTGGGTTTCAAGGACACCAAACAACCCAGTAGAGGCAAGCTCTCAATCCAACTTTATTAAGAGTCGGATCACTCGTCACCAAAGCAGCTCCCCAACCTCTATTTTCGAGGCTGTTGAACGACTTTCTAAAGGTACAAGAGGCATCATGCACCAAGTAGCCTTACTTAGATCTGAGGTACAGATTCTTAGAGACGAGAATAACCAACTCAGTCGACGACGGAGAACTAAGAAAACACGCCTACAACATGGAGGAAGTCTTACTGTAGCTGACGCAGCAGATATACAGTCACAGAAAGATGTGACTGCGCAGGTTCAGGAGGAAATGCGTCGTACTAGTGGTCGCAAACTGAGGGCCGAGACAGGTCAGCGACGGTGTGGCGTTTGTGGTCACCCGGGACACAATTCACGAACGTGCCAGTTTATTGAAGAGATGTCTGAAGATGAGGATTATGAGTAGTTTGAATTGAATTGATGCTGTTGATGTTGATATGGAAGCCAGTTTATCTCATCGGCGCAGTTTTGTGTCTCACTCGCTTGTCTGTCTCACTCGCTTATCATTCACGTTAACGGGGTTAATATTAATAAAGAAAAGTAGGGGTACCGACCGCCTAACGCCCGGAGTAGGTAGCGACGGCCCAGAGGTTGCCGATATAAGGCCGGGCGGCAATTATTATTCTATATATAGGACCTATATCTAGATAAACGGTCGGTATCTCTATAAACATATCGACGCCGCCATAATAAAAAATAATATTATTAACTATGACTTTGCAGTATTTAAATTATTCTTCTAACCGTACTAGTTAGACGTAAAGAGAGAAATAGTTAGTATCAGATTGAAAATCTAATTCTACCGCGGATAAGGGCAAGAGCATGGGCCACCTCAAGGTGGTATAATTAGACCGCGACTACCCAACCAACCTACGGTTGGAATCTCCCTTTTATACATTACGCAGAATCAATCAATACAGAGATATTGATACTTCGTCACCCCCAGCACCCTACGGTTCGAACCAACTTCCCTGTGATAGGGATACCAACAGATATACCCGCCCAGGGCCCCATCGCTTGTCATTGCCGGTCCTTGGCTCCCCACGTATTCTGTCACATGGCGCTGAGGGATGTTCCGCCTTTCAAATCAAGCACTCGAGTTGTTCCACTCCGCTCAGATGCTAGGACGGGTGAATTGTTGCTCCGACTTTCGTTCGGGTGGACGTTGACTTAGGATATTCAAGGTTATGACGTTGCAATCGAGTTTAGCAATGATGCAATCGGACTGAGCGTCTTGTAACGCTGCTTTAGCGACCTTTACTGATTCTACCTCGTCCATTTTCCTCATGGGAGACCTACAGCGTCCCGGCGCATGTGGCATACTTCAATAAGAATCAGAGGCTCTGCATCTTGTAGCAAGCTAGAGTATGCAAGAATTGCAATTGCATGAACAGATGAGAATGAAGTAGAAGTGATAACATTTTCGGCCTCATGTCAGTGGTCACTCTACGTGCGGGTGGGATGTCCGGGGCCAAGAGTGTCACCTATACGCTGATCGTTAGTGATTCGTGACCTGTCTGGCTGTGCAAGGATCAACACTTCGCTTAACCACATCGATACTATCTTGGCTCGTGACAAAGCAATTAAAGTGAGAAGCAATCCGGAAAGTTATGTGGGATTTCATACTTTGGTAGGCGGGAATAGGAAAGTTGGCAAACCTAAAAAGTAACAACCGATTCGGCCGATGTAATCGCGTGAAATGATTCGATGGCGCGCGCGCGCAAGTGGACTATAGCCTGCGTTGTCACCTTTACAGTGTTCATCCGGAGGGACGGCAACCCCTGAGGACTCCGCTGAGCCCAGACAACTCAGGCCATGTGCTGATGACTTATAAGAAGAACATATTTCCAGTCTTCGAGACAATTATTTCCACCATCAAATATTCAATCAACTCATTCAGCCCAACATCCTTCACTCTTTTTAGTCTTCTCAAGTTCCCAGTACCAAATATGAAGTTCTCAATCGTCGCCGTTGTTCTTTCCCTCATCGCGGGCACGAGCGCCGCCCCTTCAGTCGTTGAGCGCCAATCCCCCGCATGCGAGGCCTACAGCGCCAAATTTCCCCATGAGCTTGTCTGGGGACAATGGTTCCTTTGCTGCAACTACAATGGCCCTGATACCACAGTACGTCAAAACCCAGGCTTCAACACGGAGAGCTTTCCCAAGTACTAACGAGCCAACAGACCTACCAGAACTGCTGCGACAGACAGGGTGCGGGAACTGGAAGCGGTTTCCCTGGATGTGCTTAGATTTAGGGCTTATGGATTCGGTTCTTGTAAATAAGACTCTCGCAATGTCGGCGGGCTTTCACAACAATCAACTCTAAATTACAGACCATGTCTCCTACCAAGTCCTAGCGTGATCAGCTCGAGGACTGAAACACCTGTGAAATTGAAGACCCGCTGAATACTGCTAACCACTGTGTGGTAGTGCACTTTTGTTGGCGTTAGTCGTTGATCAGGCCCTGATCTCCTCGCGGCCAAGGCCAATTGCCAGTCGCCAGAGGGTACAGCGCCACTGGAAGTGCCACGGCCCCGCAGAGCAATTGTACCGCCGTATTGGGCCGTAGCACCGGGCCACTGCCGGGGCGCCGTTGAGCCTCGGGGGGGGATAATACGTGTGTTTCCAGCGGCGGGAAGGGTTTTGGCAACAGAACTGGCAACAGGCACAGCTTCTCATAAAACCAGTTCTGAGCATGGAATCAGCCCTTTTGGCAACAACTATACCATCTCCGGCCTGTCTAGCCACTGATTCAGAAAAGAACATTGCATAACTTTGGCGTAGATGAGAGACCGGATCCGGCAGCCAAACTACAGCCAGAAGAGGTTTGGCATCACGGAAAAGCGGTTTCCGTTGTTTTTATGCACCGATTACATCAGCACTGGCAACTGGCAATTAGCTTTGGCCGCGAGGAGATCAGGGCCAAAAGCGATTCTTTCAACACTACCAACATTGAAGATGATAGTAGTAAAGTCGTCGAAACTGAAGTAATATACGCTTCATGCTTACCTCGCCACAATTGACCAGAAGAATATGGGACAAAGAATACTTTGAGTAAACACGTCCTGCATAGCGCACCTATTGGGAAGTTAGAGTTGCGTGCTTTCTCAAGCTTTCACTCGACTGTTTCCACAACAATATTTCATCATTACAATCACAGTACGCGCAACTGCTATATACAAGCTACCACAACTTGCAAATCGCAGTTTCCGAAACTCGATAAAATCGAAAGCCCCCATTCGCCCTAGCCAGCTTAGTTGCGGCTGGCAAAGCGCATCATACCAGCGCCGACGTCGAACACAGTCACGAGGCTGTTCATCATGGTGTCACCCAAGATGTATGGTCCCTCGCCGCCATCGGCGACACCAAGCAAACAGACAAAGGTGCCGTCACCATTGTCGATTGGGTCGCTACTCTGGATCAAGTCGGCCTTGTCGGCGTAGAAGGTATGCCCATTGATCACAACACCAAAATCTGGCACTGTAGCGTCACAAGGAGCATAGTAGGCGCCGGAGAAGAAGTCATAGAAAGAGTTGGGGATTCCAGCTGCGAAGGTATCCGAAATATCTTGACACATAGGTAAGCTGAGTGTTCTATGCTGGTCCCCGAGGTTCCACGGAGGGTCTCGGATGTACTTACCAGTCGGCACGTACATCAAAGTCGTGCCACTGTCGACAATCGTCGGAGTTGTGCTGTTGTAAAATCCGGCGGGCTTAGAGACTGCGGTATTCCACTTGCTCGCAGCCAGAGTCTGATTGGTAGTAGGAGCCATCGTCACGTTCTTGATGACGTATCCGTCAGGAAGGATAGTGTAGAAAGAGTACTCCGTCTTCGCCTCGGGTCGGCGGGATGAGAGGGCGATCTGAGTTCAAGTTAGTTCCCATCTTGAAGCAAATTTTCTCTGTACTAGCACGTTTAATGATTTAGACCACTCACCATTCGGATAGGCGTGCTGATGAACTTGCCCTTGGTCTCGACAGGAGGCAACCCGCCAAATGCCAACTGGCCAATCTGAGACTTACTATCCATGGCCATACTGAAAAGATCAGGCTTGACAATGCCCTTCTTTGACATGGTGGTGAAGATGGAGTCATAATAGATGGACTTGCCGGTGGCATCGTCGTACTCGCTGGTGAGCAGGTCATAGGCGAGGCCGAGCAAGCCGCTGGCGACGTTGTCACCGTTCCAGTAAGTCTTGTTCACCAAGGCGACCTCTTGATGCGGCACCTCGAGGCCAGCCAGGGTGATGTCCTGGTACCCCATGAGGCCTGTGGCAAATTCTCCGTCAGCGTAGGTGATGTTGAAGTGCACACCTGGAATGGAGCCATGCTGAAACGTCCCGTTGTACGTGGGCCCGAAGTCGCACAATGATGTCTACCCGCAAGTCAGCTCGGCCTAATACAAAAATTTCTTCTGCTTTGGGGGCTATGTCGACGCGTCACTCACGTCGTTCAACCTGTTGCCCTCATAGTCCTGGCAGATAAAGTCTTTCTGGACAGCCCAAGTATCACTAGATCCGGAGTCGACGATGACCTGGAGGGTCTCATCGCCAAAGACAATGCTGGCAATGTACTCATAGCCGTTCAAGTCGGTCATGTTTGTAACGTGACCTGTCTTGTACGTCCCATCTGAACCAGGCCCGTTCCGAATGGATTGAATCCATGTCTGAGCCGGGGAGGTACCAACGACTCTGTTTAGTTCGAGGACGTGAGGAGACACTTCTAGGGGCTCGCTATCGACGCTGCGTTTCAGCAGAGGCGACAGGTCGACCTCGGTGATGTCGAAGTGGAGGGGTACACGGGATGCGGCTACAACAGAGCCAACCAGGCTCGCCGCTGATGCGATAGCGGCAATGGACTTCATAATGAGCGTAGGGGGTCGGTAATAAGGTACTGAAGTCGCCAGTGTCTATAGCACTGTCAGGTTTGCCAGAGACAAACGATGGTCTACAGCTCGTCGACAAGACGCCATGCTTTTATACACGTCTTCGACGCGCCATCGGCCACAGAACTCCACGATCACGGTTCCACCAGATGGGTTTGTTGACTGTTCCACCAAATGGACCCGTCTGTTCTTGGCCGAACATCCGAATCTCAATTCTCCGTCGTTCGTGTAATTGATAAGACGTAGGAGTAAAGGAGAGTCTCCTGCCCGAAAAGGAAGGAGGGGGTTCTGGAACATGGGTAGTGTCTGGGGTACGATTCAAGCTCTGGCTAGGCTTCGTTGCCGATCTACCGAGCCATAGAGCTAGTCTAGACGGTCCGCAACCACAACGACGAACGTTTACGGCAGTTCAATATCGCCGAGTAGATATCGTGACCCGTTGGTAAACTTCAAGTAGGCTGGGCTAATGGCCTTTATACATCAAATGACAGGTCCAGCTGAAACTATGTGCTTTGCCGTTAGAGAGAAACAGATCGGCACTCCATCTCAACACTTCAGTGCTAGCTCCGGTCGATGGGTATCGACTGAGGTCCGCTTTGTCTCCGATGTCACCTTCAGATAGGCGAAAGCGGCCGTGTCGGTGGAATTTGGCGACCGTAGCCTCGAGCCTCTAGGACTCATTTAGACGAGATTGCAAAGTATTTACGCGGGGCAAAACATGGAGGTGGCTTTCGACTGCTTGTCGTCGAGTTTATCGGATGGAGAGGTGTCTGGATCTAGTCATCTTACGATTCCCTAAATTGTGCCCGCGGCATGTAGATCAAAGCCGTTGAAACCTATTTGACAAAAGGTGCATCTTGAAAAGCGAGATTGTATCATGGCTGATGTGGTTGCTAAACTGGCGGACAATAAAGTGGAGGAGTTGGGAACTTGGCTTTCTATTGTCACAAAAGGCCTTTCCTCAGCTAAATCTTCATATCCTTGAACCCATTCTCAAACTCCTTCAAATCTTCCTCGTCCTCGGGAATCCCCAAAGAAAGCGAATCCACACTGCTATTTCGCAGGGTCACATCATCGTCCGAACCAATCTCCAAACCCAATTCCTCCGGCAGTCTAAATCTTAGAAGAATGCTCTTGATGCCCCTCCGATACTTCGGTAGACTCTTTCCTTGATGCGCTTCAATGGCTCGTCTCGACATCCATGGAACCAAATCATTGACTTCGCCATGCACTGCCCTCTTCCGAGACCCCTCGACCTGGACACCATCCTTCAAGACCGTGACCTTACTCTTCATATACGCCGCGGCCACCAACCTGACCTCATCCCGGGTCACAGTCTTGCCGCCGCTCCTGTAAGCCCTCTCAAGGATTATAATGAGGTCGCACGCGCACTTTAGAACCATCCTCACCGCCGCCGGCGCTTCAAGCAGCGGCGCCCCCATGGCGAGGGGGATGCCGCCGACGAGGGTGAATGCCGTCAGGCATACGGCACCGCCCCAGATGACAACAGACTGGCTTAGACTCTGCGCCATGAAGGGTGCGAGGTTCTTCCACACGACGCTGGCCAGAATCGTGTCCATCTCGGCGATGCTCGCCTCGGGTAGACCGAAGCAGCCCTGCGCGATCTCGCGGCAGAGAATCCTGGCGAGGGTCGGAGTAGTCATGGAAGAGATGATGCCCGTCCCGAGTCCTGCTGAGGCTGCTGCCACCGCTGTCCGGAGGATCTTGAGTGTCTTTTCTACGGCTTGATCGATTTTGGCCTCGACGTCCGGAATCTGGGCGGCGCACATTGCTTCTGAAATGACTGAATCATTAAAGGAGCCCATGGTAAGATGGATCAGCGCCTTTATGGATTGTTGATCGTCTACAAAAACTCGGCATGTCAGAAACGACAAAGCCAGACCTAACCAGCGTTGGTGCGTAGGGGCTGTTAACTCACCACGAGAAACAAAAGAAAACTTGACATCAAGCTGTGGCCATAACGGGGAGGTTTCTTGCTCTTGCTCGAACTTGTCTCGGAATAGAGCCTGCCTCTTATCGAGAATCTCTTCCTCGTCCTGCTGTGCACCGGTTTGAATCTGATTATACAACATATACTTGTCCTTCTTGGTTCCCACGATCACGATCGGAGTGGCGGGTGCGATCGTGGTGACTTCTTTCAAAACATTCGCGAGGGCTGACTGAACCGGCCGTTCGGTATCTGTATCGATACAGAACCTGGTGGTTCGGAAATCAGAGAGGGGATGCAACCACGAGGAACTATTACCACCTACCATATCGCATGGAGATTATCGCGAACCTCAATATTGCCAGAACGCGCCTTGAGAAACTTCTTGAATGCCAAAACTTCCTTGTTGTTGCCCGCCTGGAAACCCTCTGAATCGTGAATGATGATACCCGGGTGCTGGTCAGACTCGAAGCCTTCTTCAATATCGTGCTCGCCTCTCTGGCCCGAGTTCTCTTGGGTCTAAGAGTTGTGTGAGTACGTCTTGTTGTAGGGTCATTGGCTCTGCTGGAGATGGGATTACTCACCACTTCAATGCCGAAAACACGGTTCAAGAGTGTAGACTTTCCAACTCCCGTATTGCCGCAGATCAAAATCCGACAGCTCGTCAACGTGGGCAGAATCTCCCTGATCCATGGGGCGAGCTTTGCTCCTACTTTGTCCGAGATGTACGTCAGACTAGCCTTCTTTCGAAAGAAATCCAGATGATCTTGGATAGTCTCCAAGGCATTTTGGATACCGAGGGTAGCGTAGGTGTCCAAAAGGAAGTAGACCGATGGATGATCACGGTCCCATTTCGGGCTGTGTAGGGATATCGTCAGCCTCCTCCGAACCTAATATGTCGGATTACAGAACACGGAAAGAGGGGGATTTTACTAACAAGAATCGCTGTATCCTTGAAGACTGCCAAACTCATCGGAATCGAAGATCCGGCGCTTGCCTAGCGCCAAAACGCCAAATGCGCCCCGGTTGATGTTGATCCGATGTGTGGCACAGTGATTCTGCCCTCCATTCTGCTTCTGGAGCTTTTGCCGCGGGAGCTTTTGCAAGTTGCCGTGCTTATGAGAGTCACGAAGGTCGTACATGGAAATGTCAATACCACTCGAATATCGAAATATCCACGCCTCAGGCTTGATGTGAGCACCACCACTATCCACAGCTTTAGTAGAAGCTAGCGCAAGATCGAGCGCGACTAGAGGCGACGATTTAGGAAAGACGAGATCCAGCGGGTTGTCAATCAGACCCTTGAGGTGATCTGGTGGGTCATGCTCGAGTACAAGCCCTTGATCTCTGCTCTCGATCAGCATCCACTGGAGGGGGTAGAGGGACAGGCCATCGTGTACAGCGCCACCGCCAATATCGGCGTGAGCACCGACGAACCAAGCTTTCAAGTGTGAGCCTTGAGCTCCTCCTTCGGCCGAGTATTCATTATTCGTCTCGATTCGTAAGAGAGGGAATGCTCTTCGTTCCTCATTAAGTGCGAGGGCGTGTCGGACATGGTGGACGAAGCTGACATCCCTTCCGTCAAAATGGTCTCCAACGAGAACCTGCTTAACAGTATCGAAGAGGCCGAGAAATTTGATCTTTGGAGGGTCTCGCGTGTTTTCTAGTCTACAGGGGTCGATTATTAGCAGGATATCATTTATGGGATTCAACCCGGGTTTCGAATGATCTCTCTCACCCGAATCGGAATTCCTGTCCGCTCGTCACTGCCTTTTTGTCATGTTTCCTCCCGCCGAAACGAGTAATAAGATTCCATTTCGACTTGTCCTTGCTTTCGGGCGCTTCTTTCAGTGTGAATCTTCTCAAAAGAAAGGCCACGACGCGCACCACATCTGTAAGATCAAGTCAGTGTAGTTCATTCCAAGGGTAGGACGGATGCGTACAGGCTCCACGGCTGAAGCCGAACAACCATACTTCATCGTTCTTAGACGTGATCTCCTTGCAGCAATACTGTCTCTTCTTAGTTCTGGCCAATGATTGCGCTGACCGATATTTTAACTACTGTAAATACTTATTCGATCTGTCTCTTGCACCCTTCTCCTGTCGCACCGTTATGCCACTTGTTGAAGGCTCCTCCGTCGACGCCGATACCTTGGAAGTATTCCGGAACCTAGGAATGTGAGCTACCGATACGACTTCAGAGAAATTATCAGGGGCCACTCTACCTGCGTAATCTGATTTCCGGGCTCATCTGTGACCGTGCCTCTCTTGACAGAGGCGAAGATGCGAAAGACGTTGCTGTTGTTTCCCTTGCCGTGACCTTGTGAAAACGTGAGGATTAGATCGCTGGAGCTTGGGAGTGAGACCGAATGCACACTTACCCTCCCTCCCGTCTTCATTGTACCATGTTCCATCGACACAAACCACGATCCTCTTGAAGCTGGTTGGTTTGGCCATACTTCTGCGTGTCTTTGGCGAGGTTCTGGACCCTCGCGGCACAAGTCTAAGTCGAACAGACGGAAAACGGTTTTCACGGCAGCGGCTGCAACCAAGCTCATTCATGTACGCGCAGCAGCTACGCGACTTTGTCAATAAAATATACGCAGCCAGCTTGGAACGTAGAATTAGGCGCACATGCACGTAATTGTTGCTGATACACTCCCTTTCCTGCATGTTGTCGGGTTATCGACGAATCACTCGTGAGATGAATCAACAGACAGAGCAGGCTCCAAAAGCCTCAGAAGCAGGCTGTCTTGGCGGACGGCATCCTTCTTCAAAACTGCCCAATCATCAAACTTGTCTCTTCATCAGCTGAATGTTCATTGGGAAATGGCAACCTTCTCAACTGCAAGCTGTCCCGAGGCCAGTAACCCCCAAAGCGCATCTTGACGTCTGAATCGCACCGAAACGAGAAAACAAGATGATGACAAATGTCGCTGGAAAGATGATACTGCTGACAACAGACGTGACCGATAAGGTCCTTGATCAGGGTCCGAGAAGTGTGCGATTGGGTTACATCAGTGTTCGGTGGTGTGCATCTTATGAGCCATCCGCTGCAGGCTCTCAACATTTCGACACGATGATGTACATGCATTGAGAGGTTGGCTGATCTTGTGGCAATTTGAGACAACTCAAGGATCAATGTCTTGCGTCGACAACTCGTCCAGGAAATATCTTGGAACGTAGAGATTATGAATTGCTTTTGATTCAAAATAGTTGAGACTGCTCAAAAGTCACGATATATGTACTGTCAAATAGCCTCCGAGATCCTCCTCTTATGCGTCCTGCCCCGATAGATCCGGCTTCTACAAAGCCCCTGCCTTGAGGATGTAAGCCGCACTTCCACTTCCTGGCCGACTCACAACAACAGCACCCTCCTTCTGCTCCTCAGTAAGTTCGCGCTTGGGGTAGTACTCCTTCTCCCACGCCTCCTTGACAGCAGCAACCTTGTCAGCAGGCACCATGTGAACGGTGCATCCACCCCAGCCAGCACCAGTAAGTCTGCTACCATACGATCCGTTCTCGCGTGCGATGCGGCAAAGCTCGTCAATCTCGGGAGCGCTGCACTCGTACAAATCGCGGCACGAATCTTGTGTGGCGTTGAGCAGGTCGCCGAGGCGCTTATTGTAGTCCGTGGTGTCGGAGGTATCTTTGGGTGCCTCCTGCTCCAGCACCTTCATGAACTGGAGTACGCGAAGAGCCTCCTCGAAGACGTGCAGGGCGCGCTGACGGAGCTTGAAGCGGTCGGCGCGGACGGAGAGCTTGGACATGAAGATTTGCTCAAGCTCGGGGACGGAGACGCCCAGGACCTTGGCGATTTCCTCCCGGGTGTAGCCTTCGGTGCTGGCAAGAGCCTTCTTGGTAACGTCGGTGAGCACGCGGAGCTGCGCCTCTGCTGCCTCCTCTGCTGAAGCGTCCTCAGCGTGCGGGAGCTTGTTGTTAGCAAAGTATGCCTCGTGGAAGCCGTGGAGGGAGATGCCGAGCGGAGAGGCGTCGGTGGGGAGCTTCGTGCCAGCGGGGTTAAGGGCTGCGTTGAGGAATGCGCCTGCCATGCTGCACTCGACGACGCGAAGGTTGTAGTGGATGGGACCGGTGACCTGCTTGTTGGAGGTGACGAAGGACTGGGCGATGAGGAAGGAGAGCTCCGGGTTGGTTGTTGGGAAGAAGACCGGGCGGGCGGTCAGGGAGGGGCTGAAGGAGACGAAGAGGGCGGAGCCGCGCTGGGAGAAGACGGAGGCGGACTGATCCATGCTGGATGGGTTGTTAGATCGAGAAGATTTAGGAAAGGAGCACAAAATTAGTACTCACCCGCCAGAGTTGACACCGACGGCACGCTCACTGACAATGGCGAGCTCGGTAAGCTCAGTCTTGTCAACAGTCCGCTCGCCATTGGCAAGCATGACAGCCAGTGCTGAGGCACTGACAAAGGCAGCACTGGAGCTCAGACCGCCGCCGACGGGAACGTTGCCGTCCATCAGGATCTTCATACCCTTGGGTCTGAAGCCCTTGCCATGCTTGCGACGCAGCAGCTCGAGGGCACCACTCAGGCCGCTCTTGAAGTAGTTGGACCACTCGTGAACCTTGGAGTCGATGGGAACGTCGGCGCCGATAGGGACCTCAAAGGTGCGAGAGGGGTACTTGTCGGACTGGGCGTTTGCGACGCGGAGGGTGAAGGTCTCGGAGTCGGCGGGAGTGTCAGTGACGGAGAAGGCGAGGATGGCGTCGGCGGTGATGGCCATGGGGAGGACGGAGTAGAGGGAGTAGTCGATGTGCTCGCCGATGATGTTTACGCGGCCCGGGGAACGGGCGACGACGGAAGCTGGGTGGCCGTACTCGGACTCGAACTGCGAAAGGAGCGAGGACCAGCGCTTGGTCTGGATAGGAATGGCATCATCTGTGTAGATGTCGGCGAGGGCGCTCGCGGTGGAAACGGGACCGGCCATGGTGGGCGGACGTGTTTCGCTCAGGTTTGAATATGGAAGGGGTATCTTTGACGCTGGAAAGGACGACAGTGGACTGAAGAGAGATCAGACCAAGGGATGAGGAAGAAAGGCCAGGCTGAGAAAAAGGAAGAAGAAAGAAACAAAAGTGTGGTGGTGATGACTTGTGACGTTTTGGGGGCGGGTTTGTATTTGGATGGTGGGGGTGGGTGGGGCGAGGCCGGGTGGTTTGACGATGCGCCGTAATAACCCCGCGATGGAGCTTTGGTGTTTTTGCGGGTGCTCTCCCAACTTTGCTGCGCTGGAAGTGGTGCGCGTGTGCTGAGCTGCCACCCCGCAATTGCCCCTCATTTGGCGATCCTTGTCTGAAGAATCAGTGGAAGCTCCCTAAGATGTCTCACCTCGCCAGTAACACGTTGAGATGAATTGAAGTTGGGTTTGATAATCGTGAATTGAGTTAGTCTTTCAAGCAACAATAGACCAGTAACGTGAACTAAAAGAATTCTTTAGATATAGACGAAGTCTGGGGACTCATGCAATGCAGCAACTTCATTACAGCTTCAGACGCAGTGTTACTCTTCGGGACATTGACACCCGCAAAGCTCTCATCAACTTTTGTCTCCTATTTCCTGGCAAGCGCCTGTGTAGCGTGATTGCGTAGACTGCATAAAGCAGCTCACCTTTCCGGACCATGCCACAGCAAGTTGGACCAGAAAGCTGTCCGGCCCAGCAACCGAGAAAGACAAGGTGCGCTGATTTCGGCCTCTTGGGTTGTCCGGGGTCTCCAGCTTGAGTCTTGAATTGGATAACGGCCCCGTTCCATTGCGGGCCGCGTCTTCGGAAAACCGGCGGAGAACTTGAAAGCTGCCTCGGTTGCGATACAAAGCTAGTACTAGCCAGCGCATCGAGCTTTTTGGCCATTTTCTGTACTTAAGATGAAGTGCAAAGGTGGGCCAATACACAACAGAAGAAAACGGCATCAGACACCAGTGACACCTCATCTTTCGAAGAGCAAAGAGCGAGATACAACGCGACGCCACAGACTCTAGAACGCATGGTTTCTCAACGAGTAAACGATAGCCAAGCCGCACCGGTGGAGTGACTACACGCCATCACTGGCCTGGCGCATCGCCTGACTGGGTTCCGGGATCTTGTGCAATCCGGCGTGCGGGGATGTCGGGGGCGAGAGACTTTTTTTCTCCCTCTAGCGGGGACCAGTAAATGCTTCTTACATTGAGCAGGTTTTCCAACGTTGAATCGCAAAGGACTTTAGGATGAGACTTCAAGGTGACCTACCACCTTGGGATAGATTAAGCAAGTTGCAACTAAGAATTAACGGCGAGGACAAATTGCCTCGCTGAGCCGAAAAAAAGAGAGAGAAAGCAGAGGCAAAAGCGAGGAAAAGACAAAAGAAAAACAGAAGCAAAGACTAAGCCTATTCAGTGTTTGCTGAGGCTGCCCTCTTCAACGGCTCCTAGCCCCATATGGTTTCGTGGTGTAGTTGGTTATCACGTCAGTCTAACACACTGAAGGTCTCCGGTTCAAGTCCGGGCGAAATCACTTTTGTAAGTGTCGTCTCCTGTCAAGTGCAGAAATTTGTTTTTAACTCCTTTCATTGCCTGACGCCCCAGAAAATGGCCAAAGACATTTATTTTACTTTGTGATAAGCTCTCCGTCGCGGTGATCTTGTGCTTGTCTGCCACTTGACGATAGTCCCGATCCCCAGACAAAGTTTGACCAGCACCACAAGGCACCTTGATGATATTTTGAGTCATAGTCCATCATGGTTCCTCAAGCTTGCAATCTCATGAAGTAGGCCCCGAATACAACTTGCTTCTTGTAGCCTTATTCTTCTCAGTAATAAAATTAGCCAACGCGCACATCGATATGAGACATGGTGTCGGATTGGAAGTCCAATTCGGCCGCGAGTAGGGGCAGAGCATGGGCCACCTCGAGGGGGTACACTTAGACCTTGACTACCCACCCAACCTCCAGTTGGAATCTCCCTTCTACTCCTTATGCAGAATCAATCAATAACTATAGAGATATTGATACTTCGTTACCCCCAGG